TTCTCTGACGGACATTTGACCTCCCCCAAACTGCCTAAATAATTTAACATAGAAGGCCTGTTTCAGGAAGGAGTTACTATCATATGATGGCTGTAATATAATGTAAAATAGATGTTACAATACGAAAGGCACCAACAAGCCCATCTTATCAAAAATTGTCTCTCCCAGGCCACATTCTCTAGGTGGCCCTTCAAACAGTTGCCAGACAAACATTTACAAGGGAAAACTCCATTTGTAAAGGTATCTCCCTCTCTGTATTAGGAAGAGGGGGGGATGGACTTATCTGTGGAAACTCTTATCAGTACAGAGGGAGAGGACTTAAATCTGCATACCCTTGCTTACTGTAATTTCTGTCTCCCTTCTGTCTCCCTCCCCATCCCCAACATCCTCCTTTGTCTTTAGCTGAAGATAGCATTTAAGATGAGAATCACTGCTATTGTGTTGAGAAACTCAGCTGCCTGGGTTTCTCCCATGTATACATGTTATTAAACTTGGTATTATTTTCTCCTGCTAACCTGTCTTTTAATTATTTGGCCAGCCATGGAACCTTAAGGGAAAGGGTGGAGGGGGATTCTCCCTCTTCCCTGACACCATTTTTTGGCTGTTGTGAGTAGTGCTGCTATAAAACATGCATGTAAAGTACCTGAGTCCCTGCTTTCGATTCTTTTGGATATATACCTAAGAGTGGAATTGCTGGGTCATATGGTAATTCTGTTTAACTTTATGAGGAACTGCTGAACTGTTTTCCACAGTGGATGCACCACTTTACATTCCCACTGGCAGTGTAGGAGGGTTCCCATCACCCTTTCAGGGCTTTTGCGTTTGCTATTCTCTCTGGAATGCTCTTCTGGTAGGCACCCAAGTGGTTCACTTCATCACGTCCTTCAGGTCTTTAGTCAATTGTGATATTCTCATGGAGGCCAACCCTGACCACCAAATTTTTTTTTAACAATAGCTATGATTTACTAAATGATTATGTCAGACATTGTCCCAAGTACTTTCAAGACACAATGTCTTAATCTCCAACAACCTTGAAATGTGGCTGGTGTTATCCTCATGTATTTATTTATTTTTTCCTTGTGTGTCCATCTGTAATTTTCTTATTTATTTGGTGAAGACGACTAGTCCTGGGCTAGCATCTTTGCCCGTCTTCCTCTACTTTATATGTGGGACGCTGCCACAGCATGGCTTGATAATCGGTGCATAGGTCCACACCTGGGATCCGAACCTGTGAACCCTGGGCTGCTGAAGCAGAGCACCCAAACTCAACCACTACACCATCGGGCCGGCCCCCTACATTTATTTTTTATCGAGGTAACAATGGTTTAGAACATTACATAAATTTCAGGTGTACATCATTGTATTTCGATTTCTGTGTAGACTACATTATGTTCACCACCCAAATGCTAATTACCATGCATCACTGTACACATATGCCCTGTCACCCCTTCCGCCCTTCTCCCTCCCCCCTTCCCCTCTGGTAACCACCAATCTAATCTCTGTATCTATGTGTGTGTTTGTTTGTTGTTGTTGTTCTTATCTTCTACTTATGAGTAAAATCACACGGTATGGTATTTGACTTATTGACTTTCTCCGTCTGACTTATTTCACTTAGCATAATACCCTCAAGGTCCATCCACATTGTCACAAGTGGCCCTGACCACCAAATTTGAAATGGCAAACTCCCAACCCCCAACCCATACTCACTATCCTCCTTTCCTACTTTATTTTTCTCCACAGTATTGATTATCACCTAACATACTATATAACTTTCTTGTGTTCTATTGTCTGTCTTCCATCACTGAAATGTAAACTCCATGAGGGGAGAGATTTCATTCTGTTTTTCCAGCACCTAGAACAGTGTGAGGCACATAGTAAGTGCTCAATAAATATTTGCTAACCAAATAAATGAGGCCTGAAGAGGTGTTTGGGCAAAGTGTGACAAAAGAGAAAGAAACTAAGTCTCTGTAGTTTAGAGGTTATTTTTCTAATAATAGTGATGGATTGAAACTGAGCCAATCACACTTTTTATTTAGCTGTAACCAAAAAGCACACATGCGTGAGATGGCTATTTCTGAATCAGGTGAAAGAACTATTTAGAATAGCCTGAGGTAAAGGGATCAGACTATCAAGCTAAAAACTTATTAGCACCAATTAAAACTCAACTAACTGCCTATAATAAGCAAGCTTAACACTGATCGTCTGGAATGTTTTATTTAAACAAGATGTTTATTTAACAAATGTTTATTTAAACATTTAAATAAAATGATGCTACAGGACGCAGAACTTTAAGACTATTATACTTTTTAAGAAAATGAACCTAATATGTACTGTAAGAAATAGAATCCTATGGAAGAACCCCTACTTAAAATATTGCTATAGCAAGAATGTCGTTTATCATATTAGTGAACTATGACAGAGGCAGAGAAAATTTCTGTATATAAAAAGAGAACCTATGTTAAAACCTCAAAGAAACTATTTCTGGGCAGAAGTTTAAAACTTGGTGTAATTAATGCTGCTGAATCATTCACTTGAAAATGCTTAAAATGGCAAATTTTATGTTACATATTTTTACCACATTTTTTGAAAAGTAAAAAAAATGGTTAGAATGATAGTGGACGAAAAACATCCTAGAGACGGATATGGAAATAAAGACTAGAATATCGCCAAGTCCACCACTAAGAAACAAGCCACTTTTGGAGATTTTAGAAAAGCATTTATAGCAGAAATCAGTCTGGAAAATTAAAACTAGTGGATTCAACTCTTTTGACTATGAATTGCAAGGTGTAGACTACATAACAAGTGGTCAATGAAATTGGCTTTCAATATGTTTCTGCTTTAGACTGAATATTTGTGTCCCCTCCAAAATTCACATGCTGAAACCTAATCCCTAATGTTATGGTATTTGGAGGTAGGGCCTTTGGGAGGTGATTGGTTCATGAGTGTGGAGCCCTCCTGAATGGGATTAGTGCCCTTATAAAAGAGACACCAGAGAACTCTCTCGCCCCTTCCACCATGTTAGGACACAGCAAGAAGATGACCGTCTGTGAACCAGGAAGTGGGTCCTCACCAGACACTGAATCTGCCAGTGCCTTGATCATGGACTTCCTAGCCTCCCGAACTGTGAGAAATAGATTTCTATTGTTTATAAGCCACCTAGTCTACGGCATTCTGTTATAGCAGCCCAAACGGACTAAAGCAGTTTCAAAGTACAATTCAAGAAGTTCTGATATTAAGCAGAAAAACCACTCATGATTGAATCAAACAACTTCAGAACCTGCCCACCTTCATGGTTATTAAGATCACAAAGGGGCTCTTGCCAGCTTTTCAAGTTCAAGAAATTAGTAAAGTATAAATAGTGAGCTTTTAACTGTGCTGGAGGAAAAACTGCAAGATGCACTCAGTAGATAAAGCTCTCGGTCTGCAGGCTAAGTAATCAGGCTTCCATGTAAGAAGCAAAGCAATGCTCCTAGTTATATGATAAAATCTACATCTTTTATATGAAGTTACTTGTTAAAATAATTCCTGAGGCACTTTAACAATACAAATTTTATTAAAAAAATAAGTAATAACATCAAAACTGTTCAGCAAATCTATATTCAATGTAACCAAAATAAACAAACACCAAATTAAAAAAAATATACATCTATATATATATGGGCAAGAAACAAGTGCATTTTTTGGTCCCAATATTTTTTGAATATATTATCTTTATCCAAAGGAATTACATTAATGGCTAAGAAGATATGTATTAGATGTACAGAAATGTAACTTTAAAACTTCTTTTAAGGTCTGTAGGAAGTGTTTTTGCCAATTCTTTATGTCTTTGAACTCACAATCACTAAGATAATGATAGTCCCAAGATAGACAGAAGATATAGTAACATCTAATGGTCTGAATGATTATCAAATTAAGAAGCTCCCAATAGGTAGCTACATGAAATCTGTAGAGAATTCTAAGGAATTTCTTGGGGTTCTTAACAAAACAAAACAAAACACAAAACAAAAGTTTTAAAGAGAAGAGATTAAAGAGGACATAACAAAACAGACATCAATAAATTTGGTGAAGGATAACATAAAACCAAGATAAAATTAAATTAAACTTTAAAAAAATTAAAAAAAATTTTTGAATATTAGTATTGCTGAAAACTGCTAGGGTTAATACTGGATAAAACTTTAAACGACAGTACAAATAACTGTAACTTTGGAACTGTAATTTTAGAAACTTGTTTTCCAAGAACATGAAAGTAACCTTGGTTCCATACACAACCAGTTTTTATATCCTTGGACTGCATGCATGTTAGAGGAAGGGTAAAGGGCAGCAGCCAAAATGATTAAACTTCAACTTGAATGTTGAAGCATTGATTTGATGGGCTTTTCTTGGTCAGAATCGACCCATAAGCTCAAGATCGAGAACCAAAGCCCCAGTGGGAAGTTGTGCTCAATTTGGCGGGCCTTGAGGTCATCTCTGGTCAAATTAGCATCAGCCTTATGGGAGGCCAGTCATGAAGGAAGGGACTCTCCCCAAGATCTGATTTCTTAAGGCCACAACCTAGAGGAGGTCTCACAGTCAAATAATTCACATTCCTTGGAAAGAGAGAACAGGCATCAGTTGTGTCCATCGAAGGGGGACACTGCCCAGGAGTACCCTGGACATTATTTGAAATTTCTGTGTTGCTTCTGCATCTGAAAAATAAGAAAAATAGAACAATGACAGACAAGGAATGAGGAGAAAGACAGCTATCTGACCTAAAAATGTAAGACTTAGAAAAAATTAACTAAGAAACCAGACAAAACAGACAAAAAAAGATGAACAGCCATATTGTTTGGAATGCATTATTCTGAAGGCAAGTACAGCAGAGAAAAACACAAATTATTTGAAGCAAAGCAAGAAAAGACCATAGCAACAAAAGTTATTTTTGGAGAGAGCCAACTGGAGAAAAAAAGCATATGTTAAGATATGTTAACCTGACACAAAGATAAGGTGGAATAAGAATCTAGTGCCATCTGAAAGCTGAAAAGAGCTGAATAATGAGCGCTAGTGTCATGAACTTGGCTGTTTAACCGCCTTCGTGTGAGAAAACACTTCAGAACTTTGAACTTAGGAAACTGCCTTTGTGTAAGAAAACACTTCAGAACTTTGAACTTAGGAAATTCCAACTTGTCTTGCACCAGGTTGCACGAGCTCCATAGAGCAGGAATCTATGTCAACAAGCGGCTTTAAAAACAAAAACAAAAACAAAATACTTTAATATTTTTCATTTCTGTTAATGATACATTTAAACAATGCAAGTGCTAAAATCTATCAAAGAAAAATGCACTGAATAAAAATAAACTTACTCAGAAGTGGGTTCAGAAGTTGAGGTACTTTCAGGAGCTGAAATTAGAAGAATTCTACATTTAAAATGGCATATATGATGAGTGAGAGTATCAATGTAATACATAAGAGCCCATATGGTGGCTGATCAAAAAATACTGGAATAAATATCAGAGATTCAAAGTAACGCAGTTATATATACGTACCATTCTCTATTATAACTTGGCAAGTATGAGTTTTACGTTGACTTAAGTGTTTAGCCATATGATCTAAACCAGAAGAATCACTTAGGAAATCACATTTAAGGCACACTAGAGTAATGCCCCTATGAAAAAAAGAAGACAGAAATAAAAGGTTTTTATCTTTTATGAAAATCTACATACAAGTTCAAAAATTATTTTTCCATGCGATAACTCTTGATTTGCTTTTTATGTGTCATGACCATCATTTCCCAATTTTGTTATATAAGCCCAATATATCTGGAATGGTACTTGTTCACATTTAGTGCTTTATGAACTGTTCCCTCTCATACCATTTGCTAAAAGATAGGAGTCAAGGGACCTAAAGCCCAGTCATGGCTCCACTAACAACTTGTATAACTTGTGCAAGGCACAATCTTTCCAGCCTTTGCCCACCTGCAAAACAAGGCTATAATATTCATCCATTCAATATACATTTGCTGAGGACTTTCTTTATACACTCTGTACTACTAGGTGTTAAGGATACAAGAGTGAATGAAAAAGGGTACACTCTGTGGAGCTTACAATCTAATGTCTTATTTAAGTGACAGTAAAATCAGAAAATAAATGGGAAGGCTTTAAAAATAAATCATGTAAGTATTGTCATTATTAGCTTATTAACAAAGCATAAATATACTTTTGCAGTTCATTTTAAATTTAAATACTTTTTTGTGAGGAGATCAGCCCTGTGCTAACATCTGCCAATCCTCCTCTTTTTTTTTTGATGCTGAGAAAGACTGGCCCTGGGCTAACATCTGTGCCCATCTTCCTCCACTTTATATGGGACGCCCCCACAGTATGGCTTGCCAAGCAGTGCGTCAGTGCACAGCCGGGATCTGAACCGGTGAACCCCGGGCCGCTGCAGCGGAGCACACGCACTTAACCGCTTGCACCACCGGGCCGGCTGCTTAAGTACTTTAAATTTAAGTATTTCACCTGTAGAGGACTAGAGACCAGCTGCATACCCTTCACTGACTTCTCCCCTGCAGCTCTAGTCCCAACAGCCTGTTGTGTATTTACACCTAGCTGTCACATTGGCACACCAAAAACAATCCTCCTCAAACTGAAGTCCTGTGCTTCCCTCCCCACCCCTGAAAATCACTCATCCTGACTGGGCTCTCTTATGACACCATGTCCCCAACACAAAGGCTCAAAACTGTAGCTATCTCTGACTCATTTTTTCCTTAAAACAGTCAATATTTCAAGTATTTTATAATATTAACAAATTATTGAGCACTTACTCTGTGTCAGACTGAGAGTTTTAGACATATCATCTCATCAAAGACTTATAACAACCCAAAGAGGGAGGTGCTATAATTATAACTTTTTTATAGAGGACAGGGTCAGGTTTAGTAACCTACAAAGGCCAGGAGCAGGTTGGAATCTGAGCCCTTTGATTCCAGAGCCCATGTTCTTAAACAAGATGGGATACCACCTCGCCACCTTAACTCGCCTTCTTAGTCAATCAGTCTTAACTACCACAATAGTCTTAACCAGTCTATGTGCCTCATGCAGCTACTACTCACCTTGTATATCCTTCCAAACTGACCTTCCTTTAGTACCCTTAATTCTACACAAAACACCAATGGTCTCCCCAATGTCCTCAAATTACAATTAAGTCCAAATTCCCTAGCTTTTTTCAAAGATTCCACAATCTGGATCTAAGCTCAAAATTATTCCTCCAGACTTCGATCTTAATACTATGTTATATGAACTGCATGCTCCATCTAAACTGGACTACTAGTCATTCACTGTGTATGCCTTCTGCTTTTTTCCTTTCCGCACTTTCATTCCTGCTTTTTCTTCCAACTAGAATGCCTCTGTGCCTCTTATTACAAACAGAAACCTCTCCTCTCTTTGAAATCAGTAACTCTCATTGCACTTATTACAAAACTCCCTGTATTACTGTAGTTATTTATGTTCACGCCTTATCATAAACATTCATGTACATTCTTTGAAGGTTGGTACCAAGCCTTCTTCATCACTGTCATCTTTACAGGACCTGCTACATTGTGTTACACATGATAGGTGCACAATAAACAGCTAAAGAATGAACACTGTATTTTAACAAAATGGTAATTACAAAATTTATTTTTTTAAAGAATTATGAATGTGCTAAGTCCTATACACAGAAATTAACCAATTTTACATTTAAATTGGAGACCCACACTAGTTGAGAAGAAAGCATTTCTGGTCTTTAAAGTCATAGAATTAATTTAAGCACCAAGTGCACAACCGAGCTTGACAACACTGAGGTAAAAATCAAATTTAAGTTTCATCGTTGGAATTAATAAATCCCTTTTCATTCTTATAAAAATTTTCAGTAAAGGTAATACCTAATATAGCTTACTCTTTTCTAATTCCTTGAGTTTATGAGCTGTTGGTCCAACATTATCCACATATGTCATTTTCAACATATACATTAAGTTACCTAACAAATATTTACGCAGTGCCTACAATGCACCAGGCACTATTCAATGCCCAGCAAATGTCTGGCATAGACAAATATCCAAACTACACACATTCTAGTGAGAAGACACAGACAATAAACAAAAGAGTGAAATATATAATATGTCGGACCGTAAAAAGCTGCCATGAAGAAAAGTAAAGCAAGAAAGAGAGATAGAGAGTGCTCAGGGTGGGGCCCAGTGGAAAGGATGCTATTTTAAATGGAGTGGTCAAGGAAAGCCTCACTCATTGGAGTAGAGACCTGAAGGAGGTGAGGGAGCTAGTCATGCATATATCTGGGGAAGAGCAAACGAGGCAGAAGGAATAATAAATACAAAGATTCTAAGACATATCATCCCCTCTTCCACTTTTCCACTAACCCAAAGCATCAAAACAAGTATGGGCTAAACTTAAGTCTATGTCTTAGCCTGGTGCTACAAAGATCTTGACACTGATATTTCAAATAGCAATGATAACATGGGCAAAATAATTAAACTAAGGAAGATGGAGTCAAAAGAATCAGAAGAATGTGGAAAAAAATGATGCTTAGTGGATTCTGAGCTAAGTGTGTGTGGTATAACCAAAATTAATTATCAACGCCTTTAGAAAGGTTCATCAACAATTCCTTCTGTATAGTAACAAGTTGTGTACTTTTCTTCATTTCAAAAAGAAAAAAAACCCAAGAATTATGAAGGCTATATATTGATTAAAACCAAAGAAGTGTTAGTCACTTTACTAGGTATCCTAAACATCTTTTAAATATTCAAATATGTTTGGAGAGCCTTATTTTTTTTATTTTATAATGCAAATCCATGAAACTTTCATCTTAATGCCTAACACCACCGAAACAAAGTTTAGCCAGAGAATATAGTCTATCCTCTCTTTGATCTAAGGATATAATGAACAGAACTCCATGATGTCCAGTACCAATCATTTCATTTTCCAAACTAGGAACTCCAGCATCAGGTTAAAAAACGTTACTACAATTTTTCAAAAGAGAATGGAAAAAGATCAACTAGTTACCTGAGAGTTCCAGAATGCTTCTTAAAAATATAAAACCGTTTACTTGGATGGTTGCTATGAGAGCTGGAGAGACAAGAGACAAATGAGATTTTATTATATAAAATAAGTCATATTAATGTTATGACCATATTTCAATCTATGCTTAGTTTCCTAGTTTTAAATAAAAGATCATTAAATTATAAAATTCTATTAGTCATCTCGGTTTAATTCAAGATTTTTACCTTACATTTCATTTTACCTATGTGTTTTCAAACAACATATTTCCCTGTGAATATTCTAAAATAAGCAGTATCTCACCAGTATAAAGACTCAAAAAGCTAAAACTGCAAAGGGCATCAAATTAAATATTTTCAACTATTAAGAGTTGAAAACAATTTAAAAGGTATTTTATAATTATGTATTTTGCTATAATATAAATTGTTTTGCTATAATATAAATTATGAATAATAATTATTTATCATTTTCTAATCTTTTTTTTGTGTGTGTGTGAGGAAGATCAGCCCTAACATCTGCCAATCCTCCTCTTTTTTTTTTGCTGAGGAAGACCGGCCCTGGGCTACCATCCGTGCCCATCTTCCTCCACTTTATATGGGACGCTGCCACAGCACGGCTTACCAAGCAGTGCGTCAGTGTGCGCCCGGGATCCGAACCAGCAAACCCCAGGCCGCCGCAGCAGAGTGTGCACAACTTAACTGCTTGCGCCACCGGGCCGACCCTCTAACCTTAATATACTTAGCAAGGGGGGAGAATCCTTGAAGTAAATGCTACTTGGGCTAAATGGCATTACTTACCATTAGTAAAATGACATATATACATATATTTTTTTGGTGAGGAAGATTAGCCCTGAGCTAACATCCATTGCCAATCCTCCTCTTTTTGTTGAAGAATATTGGCCCTGGGCCAACATCTATGCCCATCTTCCTCTACTTTACATGGGATTCTGCCACAGCATGGCTTGATAAGCAGTGTGTCAGTGTGTGCTCGGGATCCGAACCTGTGAACCCCAGGCTGCCGAAGTGGAGTGTGCAAACTTAACCGCTACGCCACCGGGCTGGCCCCAGTAAAATGAAATATTTAAAGAATCTTTTGCAATTACTAAGAGAGATTTTAAGGAAAGCGCATCAAAGGAAGCAGAGCTCATGAGTTAAACCGTACTTCCTCTACTCACAGAACAGAAAACTACTAACCGAATTTTGCAACCAATGGCAACAGCTTTTATATAACCTCTAAATCAATAGTTTTCCTGTATAAGAAAGCCAGGCAGGATTAGCCAAGATTAGCACAGCACAGTATTACTCAAAGTGTGGTCCATGGACCAGCAGCATCTGCATCACCTGGGAACTTATTAGAAATGCAAAGTCTCAGGTCCCACACCAGACCTACTGCATTAATCTCTGGCAGTGGGGCCCGGAAATCAGTTTCAACAAGTTTTTCAGGTGATTCTTATGCAAGCTAAAGTTTGAGAAGCACCAGCCCTAGCTTGCACTGACAGACCCAAACCAGCCAACACCCCAGGTCAATGGTTACCCTTAGACACAAGGTAACTATCATCAGCATACCATATATGCACGGGAAAAGAAAGATTCTGGCTAGCTATAATCCCAAGGAAATATCCTCAGAATAGGTGCCCTGGTGAATACAAAGAACTGCTCTCTCACGTAGATAAGACAGACACATAATATGAGGTAGAATGTCTGAATGGTACAGAATTCAAAGAAAGGAATGATTCCTATGAGTAGCTGTGGTGATCATACTTCATAGAAGAAGGTGAACTGAGAGGGAAGGAGAGGAGCACTCCAAGGAATAACAAAGAATAAGGAAAAGCCCCTTAGATATTGAATATGAGACAAACTATGTGTTGGGCAAGATTAATTAATTTGGGGGGCCTGACTTCTGGTTATAGAGTTGGTATGAGCTGGGAGTAAAGGTACTCAACTTCTGAGAAAACGAAGCTTCTGTACATATAGAGCGCAAGCCTATGACAAAAGTCTACACTGGGTCAGAGTGAGGGTGTACCATTCAGGGGGAGGTACCTGAGGCAACAAGGGAAGCAAGGTACCGCTAAAGAAGAGGAAATGCAAAGAGACCTACAAGGCCCTTAAAAGAGTAGAACTGGAAGCTTTCAGTTCTATATGAGGCTAATGATGAGTAAACGCTCAGGGTGTGTGATGACAATGTAGCACAGATTTGGGGCTCACTGAAAAATAGGAGAAGATTATGAAGGAAGCCTGGGGCCATTTTGGAATATTCTGGGATAGAATGAGACTGGAGGTCCTACAAGACAGTTGAGGAGATTATGGAAAATGGGACAGGGGAGGCCAGAATGACCCATGGGTTTAAGAAACACCAAAAAGATTTTCCAATTTAATCTCCTATAAATTAGGGGCAGAATTAAAGCCCCATGGGGGGAGCCATACGTTTGGCACAGAATAAGAGACTAGCATTCTTCCCAGCAGTATACTAAGAGAAAGGTTGGCTGGGGCCTGGTTTAGAGCAACTGATGTGTGGATGCAGAACCACTGTAGTAGTTGGGAGGCAGAGTGGTAAACTGCAGAAGGTGAACCCTCAGGAAGCCATGATGAATGGTGGTAGATCAAAAGAACTCCACAGGCTTCAGAAACTTGAAGTGTGTTATTTTCGGCTGATGCTCCACGTTTATGCAAATGACACCTTGAAAAAGACTGAGTTTAAAGGGTATTGGGGTGATAGTAGTTTGTATCCTAGAAGGACAATAATGTTTAACTTATTTGTGTTCTTTATAGATGCCAGCGAGTCAAAGGTGAAAATATCTATCAAATAGTTTGAGATGAAGAGTTGGATCTCTGGAAAACTCAGCATTGAAATTGGAGGATTTACAATTAAGAGGTAAAAGATAAAACTCTGAGAGTGGTTAAGGTACCAGGAACCAGAATGTAAAGAGGCAAGAAGAGTTGAGGAAAGAAAAAGTAATGAAATAGAGGAGTAGCCAAAAAGGAAGAAGAAATGGTGTTAACAGTTTAAGAGAAGTTGAGGAGAAGAGTTTCAAAAGTGAGTGATCAAAAGGATCAAATACTCTAAAGAAGTCACAAAGGAGTAAGAATGAAAAATAGTACATTTAGTGATTAGGACATGACTGATAACATTTAAAGGGGCAGCTTTAACTGATAAGTGGGGGTGATACTCAAATTACAAAGGGTAAACAAATGACAAGACAGTAAAGAGGGGCCGGCTCTGTGGTGTAGTGGTTAAGTTTGGTGCACTCTGCTTCAGCAGCCCAGGTTTGCGGGTTTGGATCCCGGGTGCAGACCTACACCACTTGTCAGCCATTCTGTGGTGGTGTCCCACATACAAAATAGAGGAAGATGGGCACAAATGTTAGCTCAGGGCTAACCTTCCTCAAGCAAAAAAAAAAAAAAAAAAAGACAGTAAAGAATACACCTTACAGAGCCAGCCCTGGTGGTCTAGTGGTTAAGATTTGGTGCTTTTATGGCTGCGGCCCAGGTTTGTTTCCTGGTCATGGAACCAGGCGACTCACACAAGGAATTAAACTAACAAATAGGAGGGGCCATCCCAGTGGTGGTATGGTGAAGTTTGGTGTGCTCTGCTTCAGCTGCCCCAGGTTCACGGATTCAGATCCCAGGCGCAGACCTATACCACTCATCAAGCCATGCTGTGGCAGTGACCCACATACAAAATAAAGGAAGATGGGCAAAGATGTTACCTCAGGGCCACCCTTCCTCACCAATAACAAAGCAAACAAAAAACTAACAACTAGGACACAATCATGTGCTGAAGCTTTTTTTTTAAGGTGAGGAAGATTGTCCCTGAGCTCACATCTGTGCCAGTCTTCCTCTATTTTGCATGTGGGATGACACCACAGCATGGCTTGATGAGCACTGTGTAGGTCTGCACCTGGGATCCGAACCTGTGAACCCTGGGCCACTCACAGCAGAGCTTGCAAACTTAACCACTACACCACCCGGTGAGCCCCCACTGAAGCTTTAAAAAAAAAGGATACTCCTTACAAATATTGACAGTAAAAGGAAGACAAGAAAATATGCAAAGAAAAGGCAAATCTTCCTTATCCCAAAAAAAAAAATACCTGAAAATATTTGCAGGCAGAAGGAATGTGGTAGACAGAAAGAGATGAAATGAAGGAAATGAGGGTCAGGATAAACTTGGAAAAAGTAGGACATGACTTTTTCTGAGATTAATGTCTGGATGAAGGGGGAAAAAAAAACTTGTAGAAAAATATTAATCTTGGAAAAAATGAAAAGGATGACTTCTGAGTATTTAGTAGGCAAGGTTAACAACTGAGATACTAGAAGAAAATCTTGAGGGTACTGAAGAGGATTTAAACAGATGTTGTAGATAAAAACAAAGGGGTGTTTTTAAAAAGACAGGACCAAATTAAAGTTAAAGGTCATGAATTCAGAGCTGACTGAATCAAGCACAGTTTGACTGTCTAGAACTGAGCATAGAGAAAGATCAAGACAACAGATTCAAGGATAGCAAGGTTGAGCATGACTGAAGATATAAAGGATTCTAGAACAAAAACAAAGCAACATTCAAAACAGATGACCTTGAAAGTGAGATTGACTATAAAGTTGGATTGGTGCTGCTAGACTGAAAAGAGAGGTCAAGACTCTGATAGTCTGAGGATATGAGAGTTCAAAATGAACGAATATTGTATATGAAGAGGTAAGTGGCATGGTGGTAAGGAAGGGGGTACAACACGTCAGAGGTGGATGTGAATGCTGGCATTAAAGAAGTCAAGGTACCATGAGATCAGGCTGATCATCAAGCGTAAAAAAACTCTGTGAGCCAAGTGCTGAAGCCATAAAAAAAGTGGGCAAATCTTTGAAAGTGGTAGTTGACTATGAACAAAAAGTAACAGAGAGGTCTTGATATAATCTGCAAGTAAACCACTTTTATTGCTTATATTTTATTTCTGACTGAAAATAAATGGAACTACCTTAATTTCAATAATCAACTTAGCATACTTATATCTGAACAGTTTTTGTGTATTTAAAAAAATCCATCCTGAAAGAATAAAGTAAGCTCCTATTAATGAGGTCCAAATGAAAGTAATGTGGGCTCTAAAGTCTTTCTCTAGCATAGAGTACATGGTAGGTGCTCGAATAATGTAAACTGAATTGATGTATGAAAAGAAATTCCAACAGAAGCATGACCGGAATATCCCTGTGGTCTCTCATTTCATATTTCAATGAATGAATGCAAAGATGGATGGCTTGAAAGATAAATGCATTCAGATGGATGAGAGAGAGGGAGGAACGGAGGGGAGAGGGAGAATGAGAAAGAGAGAGAGAGAGCGTGAGCACGTGAACACCAATAATGTCAATAATGTTCTTAGCATCTTTGACAAACCTGGAGTCTCTCAAAGTGACTGCTTCAAAGAGGATAACACTCATATGGTTACATGTACGTATTTGATAAATATTTTGAAAACATTTAAAATTTTATGTTTGAAAATAACTGCTTTTTGAAAGACAGTAAAACAAATTTCCCTAACAAACTTATTCTAATATCATTAGTCTAACTTTTCTTAAAATTTTTATCCCACTAATTTTATGAGTTATTTTGCTGGAAAATAGCACTGGGTAATACCCTAGAAGTTCCCTATTGCTAGATCCTTTTAGCTCCTTGATGTGACAAACTGGCTTCTAATAAGACAATTTTGTTTTCAAAAGACAAACATCTTGAATGGCAATTTTGATTGGCAGTGTACATCTTTAACTCACCTCACCATATGATTTATAAAGGCTTTGTTACAGTTAGTGTTGTATTTGCAAAAATTACAGTGAATATATATTGAAAAGTGGCTTGCAAAATCTTTTATTTTGGAATGACATTCAATGCACTTGTGAACTCCCCGACGACACCTTATGGAGACAGAAAAAATTATAAAAATATATTATAAAACAAAAATAATCAGGTAAAGCCTTATTAATGTTTTATTAATTGAAACCAAGATGTTTAAATTAACATCTTTAAATAGAGACTTATAATTTGAAAGTTTGCTTTGAAACAACAAGCTAGAACAAGTGTAAAAAATCTAACACCAGTTAACGTTTCCCTGGAATAAAAAGGATCACATTAACCAGTTCAACTATCACAAGATAGAAGCATAAAATGTAAGATTAATGTAAAAGAGGACAATTATACAATAAACACAGTAATTCAAGCTCTGCTCACCAGTTGTAAAAAGTACCTTTTTATTATCTGCTTGACCTTTATGCACATATCATGGAAATGTGCAAGAAAGTTCTGTGATTTGGTAGATTATATTAAAATAAACTTTTAATATTCACTATGAAAGTAGTATTGTATATCAGGAATAAAAGATATTACCTTAAGTTCTTCAAAGCTATGCTGATTTTATTTTTTCTGTTGCGTTGTTTCTTTTGCTTGTAAGAGGTTTTCGCTTTGCATTTAGATGTACCTCTACCTTGCTTACTTGCATTAGGTTTACTTGCAGTGGATGCAGTTGCATGAGGCTTACTTGTTTTAGATTTACTTGCATTAGCTTTTGTGGGATTTTTAGCAGTTGTACTTTTCGACTTTGGAGGTGAGACCTGAAGAGAAGAAGTGCTTGGAGTACTACTGGAAGATGTAGTTGACGGCCTCGAATGAAGAGGTCCAATTGAAGCTCGAATAGTAACCTATAAAAATGAAGGCAATATATATTTTTAGAAAATTAATCTCACATTAATATTAAAAAGATCACAGCAAGCCCTCACATTATGGTCAATTGGTTTTTGACAAGGGTGCCAAAACAATTCAGTGAGGGAAACAATTGTCTTATCAACAAATGGTGCTGGGACAACTGGATATCTATAAGCAAAATAAGGAATTTGGATCACTACCTCATTCTAGATACAAAAATTAACTCAAGATGTATCAAAAGACCAAATTATGAGCTAAAACTATAAAACTTTTAGAAGAATACATAGGAGTAAATCTTGGGTTAGGCAATGATTTCTTAAATATGACACCAAAAGCACAGGCAACCACGGGGGTCAGCCTGGTGGTGTAGTGGTTAAGTTTGCGCACTCCACTTTGGCGGCCTGGGGTTTGCAGGTTCAAATCCCAGTTGTGGACCGATGTACCACTCAACAAGCCATGCTTTGGCGGCATCCCACATACAAAATAGAGGAAGATGGGCACAGATCTCAGGGCCAATTTTCCTCACCAAAAAAAAAAAAACAAAAAAAGAAAGCACAAGCAACCAAAGAAAAAATAAATTAGACTTCATAAAAATTTAAAACTTTTGTGCTTCAAAGGACACCATTAAGAAAGTGCAAAGACAACACACAGAATGAGAGAAAATATTTGCAAATCATATCTCTAATAAGGGACCTGTATACAGAATATATAAAGAACTCTTAACAACTCAATAAAAAGACAAATAAATAAAAATGAGCAAATAATCTGAATAGGCATTTCTTCAAAGAAGATATACAAATGGCCAATAAGCACATCAAAGGTGCTCAACATTAATAATCATCAAGGAAATTGCAAATCAAAATTCCAATGAGATATTACTTCAGACCAACTAGAATGGATATAACAAAAAAGACAGATAATAACAAGTGTTGACAAGCATGTGGAGAAATTGCAATCCTCATATATTGCTGGTGGGAATGTACAATGGTGTAGTAGCTTTGGAAAATAGTCTGGCAGTTCCTCAAAAAGTTAAACATAAGACTTATCATATAACCCAGTAATTTCACTCCTAGGTGTTCTACTCCTAGCAGTTCTACCCAAGAGAAATGAAAAACTATGTCCACACAAAAACTTGTATGTGAATTTTCATAGAAGCATTATTCATAAAAGCCAAAAAGTAGAAACAACCCAAATATCCACCAACTGATGAATGGATAAATAAAATATGGTCTACCGATACAATAGAATAATATTCAGCCATAAAAACGAATGAAGTACTGATACAAGTTACAATACGGATGAATCTGAGAAACATGCTAAGTGAAAGAAACTAGTCATAAAAGACCACATATTCTAAGATTTCATCTACATGAAATGTCCAGAAGAGAAAAGTTCTGTCCATAGGGACAGAGAGTAGATTACTCAAGTTTGCTTGGGGCTGATGGAGGGGAAATAGGGAGTAACTGCTGATGGGTATGAGGTTTCTTTTGGTGATGATGAAAATGTTCTAAAATGGATTGTAGTGATGTTTGCACAACTCTCGGAATATGCTAAGAATCATTGAATTGTATACTTTAAATGGGTGAATTGTATGGTACACGACTTATATCTCAATAAAGCTGTTACAAAAAATCACTGCAATACAAAGAGTTAAACACCACTAATTTGAAAAGCGCAAGGATAAACTACAATCAGATAAGTCTCCCATTTATTCTATATGGTCATACCAATCAAATAAAATTTACCTTGATATTTATTTACAGTTATAATAATTTACAGTTATAATATTACAGTTTTATATTGATAGCATTTATATGTTAACACAGATATTGACGGATAATTAGAAGTTAGTACAAATTATATCAATGTCAAAAGAGCACATTCCATGGCTGTTTTATGCTCTGATATAACTAAATAGTTTTCACAAATATAGAGGTCAAAATTTAAATCTCAAAGCCTGAAATAATAACTCTGGAAAGGCCTGAATTACTCTTTGGTAACTATAAAACAGATCTCCAGTAAATGTGAACTGCTCTCTCTGGGGGCTCACTGGGCAGGATTTATGGTTCCAAAGGTTATTGTGCAGGTTACATCAATTCATCATACAGCATGGAGAGTCTAATAATATTCACAATTTCCTTAAAGGGAGCTAACATAAAATTTATCATCTAGGATTCAGAAAAAGAAAATGTTTGATTATACTCATTGGTTAATAATGGATAACACAGTCCCCTATTAACAGTCTACTTATTTATTTATTTATTGGGTTTCAAGTGCTTTTTTTGTTAATTGCAGTAACATTGGTTTATAACATTGTATAAATTTCAGGTGTACATCATTATACTTCTATTTCTGCATAGATTACATCACGTTCATCACCCAAAGACTAATTACAATCCATCACCACACACATGTGCCTTATCATCCCTTTTGCTCTCCTCTCTCCCCGGTAACCACCAATCCAATCTCTGTCTCTATCTGTTTGTTTGCGGTTGTTTTTATCTTCTACTTATGAGTGAGATCACATGGTATTTGACCTTCTCCCTTTGACTTCTTTCGCTTAGCATAATACCCTCAATGTCCATCCGTGTTGTCACAAATGGCTGGATTTGATCATTTCTTATGGCTGAGTAGTATTCCATTGTGTATATATACCACAACTTCTTTATCCATTTGTCCCTTGATGGGCACTCAGGTTGCTTCCAAGTCTTGGCTATTGTGAATAATGCTGCAATGAACACAGGGGTGCATGTATCTTTACACATTCGTGTTTTCACATTCTTTGGATAAATACCCACCAATGGAATAGCTGGATCGTATGGTAGTTCTACCCTTAATTTTTTGAAGAATCTCCATACTGTTTTCCATAGTGGCTGCACCAGTTTGCACTCCCACCAGCAGTGTACGTGAGTTCCATTCTCTCCACATCCTCTCCAACACTTGTTTCCTGTGTTGTTAATTTATAGCCATTCTGACGGGTGTGAGGTGATATCTCGTTGTAGCTTTGATTTGCATTTCCCTGATAGTTAATGATGTTGAACATCTTTTCATGTGCCTGTTGGCCATCTGTATATCTTCTTTGGAGAAATGTGTGTTCAGGTCTTTTGCCCATTTTTAATTGGGTTGTTAGTTTTTCTGTTGAGATGTATGAGTTCTTTATATATTTTGGATATTAATCCCTTATCAGATATGTGGTTTGCAAATACCTTCTCCCAATTGTTAGGTTGTCTTTTCGTTTTGTTGATGGTTTCCTTGGCTGTACAGAAGCTTTTTAATTGATGTAGTCCCATTTGTTTATTTTTTCTATTGTTTCCCTTGCCTGGTCAGACATGGTACTTGAAACTATGCTGCTAAGACAAATGTCGAAGAGTGTACTGCCTATGTTTTCTTCTAGAAGTTTCATGGTTTCAGGTCTTACATTCAAGTCTTTAATCCATTTTGAGTTAATTTTTGTGTATGGTGTAAGATAATGGTCTACTTTCATTTTTTTGCATGTGGCTGTCCAGTTTTCCCAACACCATTTATTAAAGAGACTTTCCTTTCTCCATTGTATGATGTTGGCTCCTGTGTCGAAAATTAGGTGTCCAGAGATGTGTGGTTTTATTTCTTGGTTCTTTATTCTGTTCCATTGATCTGTGTGTCTGTTTATGTGCCGGTACCATGCTGTTTTGATTACTATAGCTAATCAGGGAGTGTGATACCTCCAGCTTTGTTCTTTTTTCTCAGGATTCTTTTGGCTATTCGGGGTCTTTTGTTGTTCCATTCAAATTTTAGGATTCTTTGTATTAACATTTTCTTTAATCATTTGACTATACTATCTCTATATACTTGAGGAGCAGCCAATATGGAAGTCCTATGAAATACATGTGGTTTGGTATCATACAAAACACCAAACCAGGAGTTAAAAGACCCAAGGTTAAATCTCACTACTACCTCTTTCTAGCCATGTGACCTTAAGTAAGTAACTTATCCTCTCTAAGCCTCCTCATCTATAATATGGGAATAACACCTGCCTTGTCTACCTCATTGAATTGCTACATGGATTAAATAATAGAATGTATGAAAAAGCACACTGAAAAGCTCAATTCTAAAGTGCTACAAGACATTTAGCATTATTATTATTACAACATACTAATTATTACTATTATTATTAATAAGAGAAGATATGAGAGAGGACTGCACTGTTTACATTAGTATTCTGCATGTCTAGTCCCTGCATGGAATGAATGGATTCCAGGAAAGGGAATAATAGGTGAAGGAGACTGGATAGCTTCTCTCACTCTAGATCTTCAGAGCATTGCTTTACATTATTTTAAATAATTCAAATAGCAGACATACTCACATTCAAAGATAAGTCCTCAAAGCCAAATATAAATGTTTGGGAATTATTTCACTTTGGATTATGCATCCCTCCAGTGGAGCAAATAGTCAAGAGCTGACTTTACATTAAAAAGTCAGAGAAAACAGACGTACATAAGGCCAACAGGAAAAAGGAAATTTGTAGTCAGATGTGTGTTTGCTCACTTAAAATAGCAATGCCATTCAGGAGCAGAACTTGCTTCTCTGAGAGTAGACTCAGCAATACCAATTTCCACAAACTATGGCATTCAAGGCACTATGATAGATTCTGCGGGTACAAAGATAAATTAAACATGATTCCTGACCTTATGGTCTAGCAGCTGAAGCAGACATATATGCTGCCAACTGGACTAGCTCAATAGCCTATAGAATATTGAAATAACCTGTTGAGTCAGTCTACAGTTAACCTAGTTGTACTCACGACAAAGGAATACGCTCCAATGTAGCACACATCAATTAACTTAAAAAACAATGGATGAAGTTTTTCTTGCCACGCATAAGAGTGGTAAAACCTTAAATTAAAATCTTTATTTTTATTTTTTGCAAGGAAGATCAGCCCTGAGCTAACATCCATGCCAATCCTCTTCTTTTTGCTGAGGAAGCCTGGCCCTGAGCTAACATCCATGCCGATCTTCCTCCACTTTATGTGGGACGGCGCCACAGCATGGCCTGACAAGCGGTGTGTTGGTGTGCGCCCGGGATCCGAACCCAGGCCACCAGCAGTGGAGCACGTGCACTGAACCGCTACACCACGGGGCCGGCCCCCTAAAATTAAAATCTTGATGACAATCAGAAATGAACTTTTTTTTTTGGTGAGGAAGATTGGCCCTGAGCTAACATCTGTGTCAGTCTTCCTCTATTTTGTATGATGGGATGCTGCCACAGCATGGCTTGATGAGAGGTATGTAGGTCCATGCCTGGGATCTGAACCCGTGAACACTGGGCCACCAAAGCAGAGTGCGTGAACCTAACCACTATACCACCTGGCCGGCTCCAGAAGTCAATTTTAATATTATATTCAGTAGATAAAACCAGGCAGGCATTTATTTCTATTATCATATAAAATGTTAAAATACAACATATTTAAAACTCACTTTTGTACCAGGAGGCAATCCTTCTAGCTCTTTAGGCTTTATAAATGTCCGATGCTGGGTCTTGTGATCCATTTTCTCCTTGCAGGTCAAAAATTGTAGTCTGCATTTTGTACAACGATGAACTCCTTTTTTCTGTTTACAAAAAAAATATTAGAAATAATCATTTCTACCCCCACGAATCCTGAGACTTAAAATTGCTCTTAATTCTAATAGCTAAATAATTTCACAACCAGTATTTTACCATATCCCATCATAAATAATATCAAAATATTATTTCATTCTTTAAAAGCACTTCTTGCATTAAGATTTGGGTTTCAAAAGTATTTGTTACCACTTGGTAATCAACATAAAAATTATATCAATTAGGTTTCAATGGGAAAAGTCCCATATCATTTGTAGTGTGAAAGCTTTTCTAATTATAAATTTGAAGTATAAAATATTCAAACACATGATACTGTAAAAATGAGCTATATTATATTTTTATCATTGAAAAGAGCAAATTCTTTTTAATTTTTATTTCAATTTGTTGTGTAAGTTGGCACAATAAACTGAAATTTCTAGAACCAAACAAATTTAACCAGACACTCCCCAAAAAGTTATGTTATAGAAATGGTTGTATAAAGCAGTGCTGTCCAGTAGAACTTTCTACAGTGATGATAATGTTCTATAGCTGACTGTCCAATATGGTATCCACTAGCCACATGTGGTTATTGAGCACTTGAAATGTGGTAACTGCAACAGAAGAACTGATTTTTAACTTTTATTTAGTTTTAATTAATTTAAATTTAAATAGACACATGTGGCTAGTGGCTATGATGTTGGACAGCATGGGTATAGAAGCATAAATCAGAGCAACTGATCCCAATCTACTATTTGACTGTGTCCCTTCTCAAACCCGGTCCTATTATTTTGCCAATGGTAAATAGGACCCAAGAGAGATCTAAGTCACTTGCTCATAGCTAGTTAGTGTTCTTTCCACTCTTTATTATCAATTGTAATCTTTATGTATATGCTCTCATTAGTTAAAAAATATATTTTATATTTATGTGTAAATTTAGAACAACATACAAATACAAAAGAATGTTTTCCCTAAAGCAGTACCTCCACAGGCCCGTCACTATTTCCATTTAAAGCACGAATAATCATTTAGGACAATCAATTGAGGTAACATATATGAAAGCACCTAGAAGTTACTGGTGTATAGCAGGCATTTAATAAATAAAAGTTCTTTACAAAGTTCAAAGCGCTATATAAATATAACATGTTTGTATTACTATTTTAGTTTCATCTTAAGACTATTTTAGAAGTTTGGTGCATTGGATCATATCATAAGTACAGGCAATGTAAACAGATTCACCTATATGTGCTCACGAGAGGGGGAAAGAGGGGAAACAAAAATCTCAGTCAAGAAACAGATAGCAAGCGAATAGGACAGATAGAAAGTTCCCCAGAGTACAGTTCCCAGAAATCTTTTCTCTACCTGTGCCTGTATCTCATCCAGTTTCATGATTTTAAACAGCATCCTTCCAACTGCCTACTCAACATCATTTCTTGCTGTCTAATAGGCATTTCAAATCAACATGGACAAAACTGAACTCTAGATTTCCTCCCATCCACCTGCAAAATAAAATGCGTTCCTTCCTGGGGCTGGCCCAGTGGTGTAGTGGTTAAGTGCGCGCACTCCGCTTCGGTGGCCCGAGGGTTCACAGGTTCGGATCCCGGGTGCGCACCGATGCACCGCTTGTCAAGCCATGCTGTGGCAGCATCCCATATAAAGTGGAGGAAGATGGGCACGGATGTTAGCCCAGGGCCAATCTTCCTCGGCAAAAAGAGGTGGATTGGCATCGGATGTTAGCTCAGGGCTGATCTTCCTCACACGCAAAAAAATCTGTTCCTTCCTTAGTCTTCCCAATATTGCAGTACATGGGAATGCCATTCTTGCAGCTGCTCAGGACAGAAGAGCTTGGTCACTCTTAATTCTTCTCTTTCTCTCACACCCCACATCCAATCATTAATAAAACCTGTCAGCTCTACCTTCAAACACATAATTTTTCCACTTTTCATCACCTCCAACCAATGCCACCATACCAGTCCAAGCCACTCACCTGGACTCTGGCAATAGCCTCCTACCTTCTCCTTGTTTCCACCCTTTCCTCCCAACAGTCTATTCTCTCCATAGCTGCTGCAGTGATCGCTCACATGCTTACACCCTCTAATGGCTTCCATAACACTCCAAAATCCTGACTTTGGCTTACAAGGCCCTACACCATCTGCCCTGCATTCTATTGCTACAACTTCATTTCCTACTACTCTTCCTCCCACTTGTTTATCATCCTCCAGCCACACTGGCCTCCTTGCTACTCCTTGAACATCTAGATATATGCTCGCCTCACTGCCTACTTACTGTTCCCTCTGCCTGGAACATTCTCTCTCAGATATCCACATGGCTTACTGCCTTATTTCCTTCAGAGAGGCTCTCTTTGACCACACCATATAAAAAACAGAAATTACTCCTTCATCTCCTAAGCCCTGGCACTCCCAATCCTCTCATATTTTCTTCCCATGGTACTTATCACCAACTGGCAGACATATATACTCAGACACAACACACACATACACCCAATCCTTCTCCACCATAATGCAAATTCCAGAGGACACAAACTTTGTTTTGTTCACTTCTGTAAAACAATCTCTGGCATATACTAGGCACTCAATAAATATTTGTTAAATAAATAATGGGGCAGACAGCAAGAGACTGACAGAAGCACATGAGAAGCAGGCACAATTTAACTAGTTCAAAATGTCTGCCATTCCATTCAATGAGCAATTGTCCAGAGCCCTGAGATGGAAGACATTAATCTACTATTTCCTCAGTTGGACTTAAGTCTTGCATATCTCTCTCATGCATGTATGCTTGTGATGCAGTAAGGATGATGACAATACAGTACATTTTTTAATAACATCATGTTCAACCAAAAAAATGGTAATCTGTTCCAAGGATAGAGAAAAAATTGTCTGTGTTAAACCTTTTGACAAGTATACTATATTGTTTGGGTGATATGAGAGATTTTCTTTCTTTCTTTTTTTTTTAAAGATTTTATTTATTTATTTATTTTACCCCCAAAGCCCCAACAGATAGTTGTATGTCATAGCTGCACATCCTTCTAGTTGATGTATGTGGGACGTGGCCTCAGCATGGCCAGAGAAGCGGTGCGTTGGTGCGCGCCCGGGATCCGAACCTGGGCCGCCAGCAGCGGAGCGCGCGCACTTAACTGCTAAGCCACGGGGCCGGCCCTCGATATGAGGAATTTTAAAGGCTAATTCTGACTATCGGTAATATCTGCCGTTAGAACTAATGTTAGTGAAGAATATGACTCTGTGGTAAGAGCTTGGGCTCTAAGTCCATTTTTGGCTCTGCCATTTATTAGAGAATGTGACATTGGGCAAGTTACTCTCTATAGAGCATTGTTTCCTCATCTATGAAATGGAAATGATCACACATCTGCTTTGTAGGGTGGTTGTGAGGATTAAATAAGACAATGCAAGTAAAAGCACTAGTGACTGTCATATGGCAAGTGATTAGTTTAGGTTAACTGCTTATTATTATTATAAAGATTTAATGAGGATATTTAAAACATCTAAAATACTTCATTCTTTCTTAAAAGTTGTACAAACTATTTTGTTAGCTCTAAAATCACTTAAGGCATAATAATATATTTTTTTAGGAAAAAGTTACAACCAAAGTCTTCAAAAAGAATAAAATGAGCCATAGGTTCAACAATTCTTATTGTCTAAAATCACACTAATATCATCTCAATTACATGTTTATAATTCTGCTCAGCTATGGTTTTTGAGTCTTCTGTGAACAATTATACAAATTGCATATACTTTAAAGGATGCCTGATGATCCTTATTAATAGATTCTTTCCTCTATTGACTGCTGACTGCCTACCTCTTAGGCACTCCAAACTTAGCAAAAAAATTGGGCACCCATGGTGTGTCAGTAGTGTCCAAGACTACGCCCAGGTTTGATGATTCAGTAGAAGGACTTATAGGACTTAGGAGTTGTTATACTCACAGCTATGATTTATTACAGTGAAAGGGCACAGAGCCAGATTGGTAAAGGAAAAATGTGCGTTGGGTGGAGTCTGGAGGATACTGGTGTCAGTTTCCAAGTCCCATCTCCCAATGGAGTTGCATAGGACATGCTTAACCAATCTCCCAGCAACCAACTGCAGCAACATGTATGTAGTGTTTTTTTGCCAGGGAAGCTCTCTTGAGTCTAAGACCCCAGGTTTTTTTTATGGGGTTCAGTCACCAAATCATGACTCCCAGAAGAAAAGCAGGTATTCACCATAATCATTTTTTTTTTGCACAAATGATCTGGAAAAGCTGGTACAACATGGCTCAAGGTTCTAAGCATGTAAAACATTCATCAGTTAATAACAAAGGCTCAGTTTCTAGGAGTTAGCCAAGGGTCAGTTATGCAAGTAGACTCTTCTGACAATGAGCATGATTTGAGCAACTCAGACCTACTGGGCTAACTCTCTCCTACACATGTGGCAAGTTCAGACATACAACTCAGGGTACAAACAGTGACTACAGATCAGGTAAACCACTAAGGAGACACAATCCACAGAGCAGGTCCATTCATCTCTTTCTTACCTTTCTAAGCATATATCACTCCCTCCACATCTATACCTCGCTCCAGAGCTTAGTAAAGCACTGGAGAAAGAATTATGTTAACAGCTTCAAAATGAAATAGTCAGAGCTACAGCTTTATATCTCATTCTTCCTTTCAAAATCAAAGGTCAAAAGATGAAATATACAGCACCAAGACCAGTGTTTCCCAAACTCTATTCCTCAAGAAATGTTAATAGGTATTGTGCAAATAAAGCGTTCGACGGTCAAATAAGTTTTGGGAACAATATATACAATATCCCTTGCTTGGAGATTTGTGATGTTTTTCAGCATATTAAAAGCTCTGGAATGTCCTATTTAAAAAAAATAAACAAAAAACTATGAGTTTTGTAAATCCAGCCGTTTACTGAATTTCTCTTTCCAGGAAAAATTTTAGAGCAGAACATCTATTAACATCTGATAGAACACTGTTTGGAAAACCCTAGAATAGAAAGATTTTGCCAGAGGTTCTTAAGGGTGAGGTAGCATACCAAGATAAAAAAATAAGCATATTGGTACCATCCTAGTCATAGCATAGGTGATCTTGAAGATATTTGGATATTCTACTTTTATGATTTTTCCCAATTATCAGCTACAAGTTGATTTCATGATTATCTAATGACTGGAACTGAAAGAAATGTTAGCACCAGTGCTGAATAAATTGGCCGTGACAATGCAATCAATAACAAGAAAATGCAATGAGCTGATTAGCAAGAAGACAAAACTTGATTACATAATCAGATTCAGTAAATTTATTGACTTCTGACTTTGACACAGGTACCATTGCTCTTTCAAGCACTTAAGAACAGGCTTATTGTTTCCTCAAAGTTTTCAGCCCAAATAAAGGATAGTCTAATTGTGTCAGGAAAAGAACCAGCAAGCATCAAATGAGAATTCAAGGGAAAGGTGCAAGCACTAATACTGATATTCTGGAAATTACATAGCAGAACTGGCAAAAGTCATCCGGGAAACAAGTTATAACCTAAATGTAGTTCTCTGGCATAGTTCACATATCTAGAAATATGTCATTGCTGTTTCCTTTGTCATTGGCTGCTACAAAAGATCATTCTGAGTCACTGATGACACCCATGTCTCCTCATAATAAAAAGTAGGCTAGTGGGGCCGGCACCGTGGCTTAGCAGGTAAGTGTGCGCACTCCACGACTGGCAGCCCGGGTTCGGATCTCGGGCATGCACTGACACACCGCTTGTCTGGACATGCTGAGGCGGTGTCCCACATAAAGCAACTAGAAGGATGTGCAACTATGACGTACAACTACCTACTGGGGCTTTGGGGAGAAAAAGGGAAAAAAAGAGGAGGATTGGCAATAGATGTTAGCTCAGGGCTGGTCTTCCTCAGCAAAAAAGAGGAGGACTGGCATGGATGTTAGCTCAGGGCTGATCTTCCTCACAAAAAAAAAAGTAGGCTAGAAAGTGGAAATAAAATTTGAACAGAAAGAGGAAAACAGAAGATTATGAGCTCAGTTCAAGCTTATCCTTCTACCGCTGTTGATTAACTACCTTCAATATTATTCCCATTCTCACCACTCTTAGACCGCTGAAATACCCAGCCTAAATATTTCACTCATCTTCCCACTTCCCCTCCACTCTAGAGTTCCTATTTCTACCTATCTTTCAGAATTTTCTCTGTTCATGAGCCTCATCATCACCAGGAAGCAGACAAGGAAAAGAAGTGGAAGTTTCACAAGTAATTCAGCATAAATTATAAATTAATTGTGTTATTTGGAACAACTTTGTTTTCCATCTAGAATAAATCTAACCAATGTTCTACATTATACATATATATATATATCTTTTCACTAAGACAAAATGAACAAATAAGAACTGCTAAATCTCACCTGATGCTTCATGTAATGATTCATGTAGGGGGTTGCCATTCTACTAACTTTGAGGCAAAATGGACACAGCAAGTTCTTAGTGTTTTCATGGGATGCTCTAAAGTGAGTTTCTACATCAGAAAATGTTGATGATCTAAACTGGCAAACCTAGAAATATAAAGAAGGTTTAGGTTAACTTGAAAATTTATAACTGATATGAAATTACGTCAAATTAGCAATGATGAGTCATCTGTTTAGAGGAACATTATGTACTATTAATTCAGCTCTGCTGCCCAGACAACCAAGAATCCTATTATTGCAAGTAATAAAGATAATCTTTGAAACATAAGTTATCTTTCAAAGTTTAGGAATATATTCCTAAACATAACTAGAGTCCTTTCTTCTTTTCAGATCTACTATCCCCTACCTTGACTTGAATTTTCAAACTTTGACCCCTCTTGTCCCATAAAATTTTTCATGCTATATAAAATGGAGTATTCTCTTTGTTGGATTTTAAATAGCATGCAGCTTATGACAGAGGCAATTTATCTTTATCTTGCTATCTTAATGGGAACCACTTCAAATTCTGGAAAAATACTGGCTCCAAAGCATTTAGTTGAGTTCCTCATAACTAACAGCATTTCCTATTTCTCTGACACGTCTATATTCTTCTCTACATGGTAAGAAAGTCCATATATTTGTCTTTCTCCAGCAGGTCATTTTGTTTGTCTAGTACAGGGGTCAGCAAACTATGGCCTGCAGGCCAAATCCAACCCACCACCTCCACACACATGAGTTAAACCAAGAGAGTTTCCACTATTGAAGAGGGTCTTCAATTTTAGTAACTCGTTTTATTTAAATGGTTAAAAAAATCAAAAGAACAATACTATTTCATAGCACGTGAAAATTAAACAAACACCTAAGTACATAATAAAACGTATGCATACCTGGCAAATATATGGCATTTCCCCGGGTTTATGAGTGTCCTTCATATGTTGTAAAAGAGTATGTTCTGTTTCAAATGATAATTCACAGATTTTACAAATAGCTGAAAGTGGGAAAAAAACACATTACACTATCTTAAGGATGTATATAAATAAAAGATTCATCTTGTTCATCCATAACAACAGCAACAAGAAGTAATAATAGTAATAGTAGTAGTGATGATGGGTCTAACAAATCTATAGTTAACTCTGTGATGCTACTTTATTTATATTAATTAGCTTACTTAATTCTCATACCATCACTGAGAAGAGGTACTGCTATTTTTATCCCCATTTTTCAGATGAGGGACTTGAAGCACAGAAAGAATATGTAAATTGCCTGATATCTCGCAGCTGTACTAAGAGGCAGAGCTGGGACTGGAATCCACACTGTCTAACTCCAGCCTCTGTGATTTTAACTCTTATTGCAGTTACTTTTCTTATTAGAGTATAAATCAACACCATTGATTTCATATTTGCAAACCAGGTAATCTGAGTTTTCAAATTTAGCCTCCTACATATAATGCATGAGTTATGCCAAGAAAGTTCCCACTTACAAGAGGGACTTCAATTTTAATAAGTAATTTTATTGAAAAGTTTATACAAGTTAAAACTTGTTTTTCAATTTTGCCCTCAAATTACAAAATTCATTTCTTTTTTCTTTTTTTTTTTGGTGGGGAAGATTGGCCCAAGCTAACATCTGTGCCAATCTTCCTCTATTTTGTATATGGGATGCTGCCACAGCATGGCTTGATGAGCAGTGTGCAGGTCCGTGCCTGGGATCCAAACCCACGAACCCCAGGCCGCCAAAGCAGAGCACGCAAACTCAACCACTATGCTTCTTGGCTGGCCCTCAAAGTTCATTTCTTATTCTTATTTTTCTATCAGAATTCTTAAGGACTCCTCATAGTTTAGATGATCAAAATTGTTACCGTTCAGGACTTCACTGAAATTGTGACTTACTAGAAAACTCATGGGGGGTGTGTGTACTCTCAATGTGACACTGCAGCTGGAATGGTGTAGGATACTGACGGTAGCAGTGCTGGCAGGTGGTGTGGCTCTCCCAGCTCTCACTGTTCTGCTTCTCAAGTTCCAAATGGTGTTTCATGTGGTTCATAAACCTGTACATGATTGTCAACAGGTGCAAAAAGTCAGATTTATAACCAAAGAAAAATCTCACACATAAGTATCTGAACCTAAATGTTAAAAATGCATTTGTATTACTCAAAATAACATCTCCAAAGCCATAAAGTCATCTAGAAAAGTGTGCACTTTAGATAATCACCTTCGTTAAGTGGCTCAGTAAACATTTCTCTTTGCATCTTTGTTTTAAAATAATCCATTTATATATTTAATATGAAATACCACTAATTTGCTATAACTCTTCATCATCATTTCAGATTAAAAAAAATTCTTTGTAAAGAAAAACAGCATGTTTCTTTTCCATACATGAAACATTATTTATATTTTAAAATAAAATACTTAAAGGAAGGAAACCCTACCAACAAAAGCAGCTACAGACTCATGAGAAAAATCTTTTGAAGGCCTTGAGATATACAATAGGTCTTGGCTGCTTGAAAGACAAATTATTAGTGTTTTTATTTGTGTCTTGGTTTTTGAATGCATGTAATAGCAATTTTAATACCTATAATTACAAGAACCTTTTGTTTTATTTAAAGATATTGGTTTACTGTTAGCACAAACAGTTCATTTTAACTCAGAGACTGTGCCCTTTGTAGCCCCATCCATTTTTCAGTTCTACATTCTGCTATGTCACATTCCCTAAAAGGCTTCTCATGAGAAGGAACTATGACCCTCAACAGCAGAGAATAGAATATAAACAGGCGCATCTATTTCAAAGGGCTTACTGAAACTTTTTACTGAATTTTAAAGTTATTCAATCAAAATAATAATTTTAAGACTGGGTCAAATATTAACAGTCATTCACCATGAGTCCCTAAAGGAAATAATCTTGAAGTGATAATGTCACCAACCTAGATAGCGATCATCATAGATGTTTTAACATTTATCTTTTCACATTTCCAAAACACAACTTCTCTTTAGAGCTGCTTACGGTACACTTTGAATCTTTTTTCCTCCTTTCATTTTAACATCATCTCTATTAAAATCTATTTTTAAAAGTCCTAGTCTTGCCTAAATATTTACATATAAAGGTCATGAGCCACTGAACTTTCAACTCATAACTTTAAGTAATAAAATCTATCTGTATAAAATAATCTCTTACCCAACTGGCTATCTCTCAATTATTGCACTGCCTCCATCAGCAGCTCATACCAGTAGATGGAGATGTGGGAAAAAGCAAACCCCTCACAAGGCTCTTCTCAGAATACAACAGCCCTAACTGGTTATGGTGAGAGTAGGAAAAAAAAATACCCTGCAATATGTTGACATGGCAGAGAGTAGAAATCTTCAACTATTAGCTTCTACCATCCTCTAAAACCACCAATTTGCCATCCTAGTTTTTACCATTAAGGTAAAATGTTGTTTAACATATAAAACATCTTTGATTATCCAGTGTTTACTGTTTGGGTTTCATTTACTAAATAATATGTCAAAAAATGCTAGAAAATTCCTAGATACTATAAAATATGGTTAGCCTAAAATTTCTAGATAGTCTGATAATCTAGAAATCTGTAACAAGTCTTTTGAAATAAAAACAAAAAAAATTCATGTTTAATATTAAATGGGCTAATCTTAAAGAAAAAGCCAAAAAGCTATTGCTGAAAGAACTTCTAATGCCATATGTAGAATACTTAAGTATAACACGAAACTTAACCGGTGAACCACTTTTCTATGAATTTTTCCAAGTTTAATAACATTTTCTGATGTATTTTACTGTGAAAATATGGAAGGAGGTCACAGAGTTCTACCATAACATTGTTTCAGTGTTACATCTCTTAAAGCACAATTTCTCTTCTGTTGAGCTACTGGGATCATTAGCAATTGACGGCTGTCAGGGGTTGATAAAAGGAGGAAAAGAAGTGTGAAAACTCATATGAATAATATATATGAAAGATCTTTGAAAACTATAAAGCACTAACCATAAACATAGCAATCATAATTGTTTTAGGCTTATATTATAGTAAATCTCAAGGTTTTTCAAATGTGATTCATTTTAGACCCAAGAATTCAGCAGAAAATAAATGCTGGGCTTAGAAATGACCTATAGGATGCTTAAGAATGCTAGTTACAAATGATGGTTATCAATGGTAAATATTTTTAAAAGTTTATATGTTAGTAGTGTGTATGTATGTCACAATTTAGGTACATAAACATATACATACAGACATCTAACCTAAGTGCACTGATGTCTGCAATTTATTCTGAAAAGTATCAAAAAATCTGACGGGTCTGTGGATGAATAGATACGTGGTAACAAAAGCATAGTAAAATGTTAATGGTACAACTATGGTGGTTAATATACAGATGTTCATTGTATAAGTTTTTCAACTTTGCTGAATATTTGAAAATTTTTATAATAAAATGTTGGAAAAACGGTGTCAGTCTATATAACCAATGAAAAATACTCATCAATAGGTCTTGTTACTTTGTTCTTGTTATTATCTCACTTAGGATGACAGATATGTAATATTCCATATAACTCAAAGACTGCAAAGTACAAGTTCCTAAAATTTAAAGCATACATGTATAAATCTTCAAAATTCCATTGAGAACTAAATCTCTACTTTTAAAATGTGTTAAGTTATAAAATCAAACAGGCATGTTTCATAGAACTGGTACTTCTCTAAAGAAGATCACCAAAAAAAATCACTTTCTCTGCAAGGTAAATGTGCTAAAAATTATAAATGTGAATTAAAAATTTAGAGCATTAAATATGACTAGTATGGGGAGGTCAAACTGGATAAAGCAGTTCTTGTGATAGGAAAAGTAAGATTCAAAAGCAGCTATAAAATAAAAATATCTTGTGAAAACTCCTACTTCTATGATAAATATAGAGAAAAGGAGTGATTTTTCCCCTAGGTTAAAATAAATTTTGTCCTTTATTAAGCTATCTGAAAGAAATACAACTAAGTAGATCCAAGTGTCAAACTTTTCAGCATGGTAACCTGCCTTTGTTCTTAGTGGAAAGTGTTAAAATCGCTTATCTCGGACAGCACAGAAAAATAAAGATACAATGTTTACATCTGTAGCATTCCAATTTTCAAACAGAAAGAGAAATAAGTATTTACATACCTAATATTATTTTTAAGAACTTTCAAGCAACTGAAGCATTTAAAGGTTGTGTAAGTCTTCTGTTCATCATCAACAGCTCCTTCATGTCTTCCATAGTAAAAGTCACTAACTAACATGATCAGTTTTCCTTTCTCTGCACCAGTCTTATTTTTATTTTCAGTACTTGAAAGTTCTACTTTAATCATTTCCAAAAATTTATTTACCATGTCTGGACAACAACGCTGAAAGAGAAAAAATCTATAAGCCTTACTTATATTTTTTAAAAAAAGCAGATACCAAAAAATGATTCTGTGTTTATAAACTAGGGCCAGCTCATGTAAAACTATATTTGGCAATATATCTGGAAAGACAGTCACCAAAATGTTGGCTTCTTTCTTTAGATAGTCCAAAAAATTCAAACAATAAACACCTATTATCTTAATAAAGAAATAACTTAGAAAACAAATGGAAAACTTTAAGATCATGGATGGCTATACAGTCATCCCTGGGTATCCGAGGGGAATTGGTTCCAGGACCCCTGCAATACCAAAATCTGCAGATGCTCAAGCCCCTTATATAAAATGGCGTAGTATTTGCATATAATCTACGCCCATCCTCCTCTATACTTTAAATCATCCCTGGATGACTTATAATACCTAGTACAATGTAAATGCTATGTAAATAGTTGTTATATTTATATACTGTATTATTTAGGGACTAATGACAAGAAAAAAACGTCTGTGCACATTCAGTTACAGACGCAACCATTATAGGCCTTGGGATCTGCAGTTGGTTGAATCCGCGGATGAGGAACACGTGGATACAGAGGGCTGACTGTATATCTAAACCTTTTTCCTTGCAATTAAACTTCTCAGATGTGAACATTTAACAATAACTTGTTCCTTGGCCAAAAATCATACATTTCATATCTGTGTCAAGATATAGCTTAAAAGGAAAGATAGTTTTTTATGCCATTATGTATATGCTTAACTATCAAATAATACAGTAGTATTTCAGTAAAGCCTGTTGGAGCTGGACTTTGAGCACAAATAACCCGCCATTCTCCAGACTCAAGGTGCTAGAAAATGTATGGGACACAAAGAGAGAGGCATTAGTTACACCTTGAACACCTCAACACATTCTGTCTACAGTGCTGAAATATCTGAAGGGGAAATTGACCTCATGAATAAAATTTAGACCTCATATAAACTGACCCTAATGTGGAATATTTTCATACATGAGCATTTTATTTTCAATAAGATAAAACGAATTCATTTATTGTACACACTTTTCAGTTGTAGAATTTCTCTAGAGGAATTCTTTAAGAATAACTAGAGAGCAAAAATATAAACTTTCCTAAAAACCCAAACAACATACACACAGTGTAACTACAAAGTGAAAGACATAAAAGTAAAGAAAGCATAACAAAAAATTGTTACAGAATAAAGACCAATTAAACCTATCAGGCCAATTAAATCTATCCTATCAATGAATACAAATGGGTTTAACTCAACTACTAAAGAAAAGAAATTTCATGTAGGATCACAAAACAAAAAACAATTCTGGTGAAAGCAAGAAACATACCAAAAATCAAAGTGATTTGGAAGGGTTGAAAATAAAAAGATAAACAATGAATATAACAGGCAAATGGAAATAATAAGAAAGCAAGGGTTGTGAGTTTGATATCAAACAAAATAGAATCCAGGCCAAAAAGGGAACACTTTATAAAAATGCTAAAGGGTACATTCACAATGAAGTTAAAAGAGACGGATCCATCTGTACCCTAAATAGTAACAACCATAAAACACAACTGGAAGATATCAAAGAAAATAGTGGTAATGTGAGACTTGAAGACCTTTCTCAAACCATGACAGAGCAAGTAGACAAATATAAGTAAAGATATAGGAACCTAAATAACATATTAGTATGTTAGATCTGATTGATAACTATCAAATTCCATACCCTAAAAATGAATAACACCCCTTATTTTCAAGTTTCCATATAATATTCAAGAAAATAGCCCTTACAATTTTCAAAATGGGGAGAAAAGTGTTTGTGGAAACCTGGGCTTTGCCATCAGAGAGACTGAGGTTTCAATCTTAGCTATGCCAATTAATCGGCTACAAAAGTGAGAAAAAGATCTATCCTAAAAAATTTTCTGAGGATTAAATGAAATAATATTTGAAAGCTTAGTACTGAGTCTTAGATCAATAGGATATTTGACTTACACTCTAAGTATTCTTCTTTTGGAAGAAAATATTATCTCTGTGGTATTATAATCTACTTATCTATAACAGCAAAATATCATTCACAAATAAACTAAAACTCACGTTTTTTCCAAAATGGAAATCCTCACTGTCATACTATAAAAATTTAATTGATAAAGATGTATAAGCTAAAATGTAAAAGTCTCTAATAGTTTTACACTTGATCCTAGCAAAAAGGCCAAGAAGTGATAAGTCTCTCATAGATTTTTGTTTTTGTTTTTTTTTTGGTGAGGAAGATTGTCCCTGAGCTAACATCTGTGCCCATCTTCCTCCATTTTGTATGTGGGATGCCGCCACAGCATGGCTTGATGAGCGGCGCATAGGTCCGCACCTGGGATTCGAACCTGTGAACCCCAGGCCACCAAAGCAGAGCTTGCAAACTTAACCACTATGCCACCGAGCTGGCCCCAGTCTCTCATAGTTTTAATCACAAACAATGCTCCAACAAATAAACCTACATTTTAGAGAATGTTTGCCACTTTCTCCAGGTGCAGAAGTATATATAACATACTATAATTTGTGTATAAAACAGATGGAAAATAAGGACCTTCATGTATGCCTGTATATGCAGAAAGAAATTCAAATAGGATAGAAAACAAATCAATAAAAAATTATTTCCTTTGTGAGTCATATTGGGAACCAGGCAAATAGGGGACAGGGGTGAGATTTTTCACTGTATGCCGTATACTTTTTGAAGTATACTTTTTGAAGTGACTATATTACCCCCCAAATTAAATAAACTAAACATAACTAAAAAACTCAGCCCTTTCTTTTCTCTCTCCATCGATAATGTAAAGCATAAAAACATCAAATATCTCTACACAATGTTACATAAATAGGAAAACTGAAAGCACTGTAGAAGGTACTCCTTAACTAAAACCAAAACCCCAAGTCCAGTTAACAGGAGTCACATTCAGGGGGTTTGGAACTAGCAATAGATCAAATATACGTTTGCCCAGCAATCAAGAGATTGTATTTGGAATTTTAGAATGCTCCTTTTCTTTCTACATTTTTTGTAAAAGGCTGAATTTCAATGAGAAATTTGCCAATCTTTGAAATAGTGAGCAATAACTTTTCCTAAGTTGCTCCTTTGCTCTGCACTCTTCTCATCCCTTCTTTCCTGCATATAATCTACATTGCCTTTTTTCTTGCCTCCTTTCCCCCTTCCTGCTATTTATACTGGGCACGCAAGAAGAATGCAGACTATCTTTTCACAGGCACACAGAACACTGTAATAGCTACTAAAATATTTTAAGTGGAGTGATGCCTAAACCTCATACTCATTAGTACTTTGAAAATTACCTAAAACCTAAATTTAGGAGCTTCCTACACCAATATAAAGCTAGAATTAATTTATAATAACTACACTAACTATATTCTGGATTGAGTTCAAACTATTTCATACAAAATGCTCCACCATTAGGAGTTTACGTCTGCGTGTTGAAAATTAAAATGCAAGACTAAGATTTTCATTGAGTAATGTGACATGTATATGTCACCGTGGACAAAAAATAAGGTATAAAAAAGGAATTTTTAAGTTATATGAAAGATTAAGCACCTAATAAAATGCCTTCTTTGTAAGAATTTTGAAGAATGGCAGGACCTAGTCAATAAAATATTCTGATTAATACATTATTTTCATTAAAAATTAAAATACAATATGCAATACTACAGTATATATAAACTTAATTTTTAAAATTTGATTGGGAAGGGTTTTAAAATCTTGTATAAAGATAATCATTATGAATATCAATTTTTACTTAAGTAACATGAAAACACCAATGAGAAGATTTTTTATCTAAATATGTGGACAAACTAGCATTTACTATATATCAATCCTTAATAGTACAGAGATTTGTGAAAATTTTTAAACATCAAATTTTGAAAAAGTTTTACCTTCATGTGATATTTCAAAGGATCCAAAAGATTGAACTGAACATTGCACTTTGGACAAGATCTTAGAAACGGCGTTCCAGTTTTACAGTGAGTTGATGAGGTATTTGTACCTAAAATAAATTAAGGACATTTATGACTCAAATTCTTCTTTTTCAAACCTTAAGCAAACAGTAATAATAGTTTTAAAATTCATCACAATTTCTAAAATTTATGTATAAATAATACAATTCCTTTTTTATATGCCCAATTCATATTTACCTTTTGATATCATAACATGGGAGGGTGTCACTGAAGGAGAGTTCACTGAAGACAATGAAGAGCAAGGATTTTTTTCAGGAGTACCTTCACTGGTCTTTCGCTTTTTTGGACTAACACTGTTTACTTTAGAAGCAGAAGGACGTTTTAATATAGGCAGAGTTTGATCCATACCTACAATGATTTAAATAATGGGAAAGATATTTGTAAATGCTTTAATTTAGAATACTACTTACAATTGCTACAAAAATGGCCTTATACTTAAAATTAAGTAAAAATACTTTGGAGCTAAATTACAGGTAATATAATTAAATTATGATATCATACAAACGACAGTAAAGAATGATCAAAATTTTGGTGATCAATAGGTAGAAAGACAGTAGGTAGAAATAGGTAATAGCACAACAGCTATTATGGATTACACATATATGGACAATTCGTGAAATAAACTGTTTATGCAAGAAAATTCTAAAGATGCCTTCAATTAAAGAAATACATAAATAGGTATCATGAAGGAAGTCAGACCAAAAAATCCCAAGCAAAAAAAATTAAAGCACAGAGAATATTCTAAGCTCAGTTTCAAAAATGTATTTAGATGCTTAAATACATTTGAGTTTATAAACAAAAACAATTTCTATTCTAAAAATATAGATAAATCCTTTAAAATACTTTTAAAAAACTTAAGATGTCTAATGGAAATCTCAAGTTGGTTCTTTTTCCACTTAACAACCTGAAAGGTGGTTTAAATTATCTGTTTATTCCCTATGTACAAAGCAGCAACAACTAATCTTGAATGATATTACCTCACTCATTCATATGAAACGGTCTGGAGTTAGTATAATGGCTTTCAAACTATGTTCCCCTAAGCCTAATGGTTCTGTCTTAGGGAATAGAGTGGGCATGTCAGATAGAGAAACTCCTTTTACCTTGTTTTTTAAATTAGACTTTTACATAAAATTTTGTTTGAATAGAAATTTCATTGATAAAAATAGTTTTTAGTTTGAAAACTATCAGCTTAAAAGCTAAAGGATTATGTAACCTAGGGCATTTGCAAGAGAAATGGTGCTATTTAGGCTATAACCAGATGCAGCAAAAGTCCTTTTGAAAATAACACACAATCATACTTTGTGATAAAGATTCTAAAACTGCACATCATATTTTAATGCTCCCATATGTACATGAATAGGAGAAGCAGTAGAATAGATATATGCCAGGAAAATAAGAGTTTTACATCAGTGGGCTCCTCTGTCAAATCTGTGTTTCATTCTTCGAGATAACATGGAAATGATTCTTTCCATCTTCAAGCACATGATTACTGACAGCTATACTGCAGGCACTTGGGACTGATTTCTGTGTAATCGCGCCAACATTCTTCCCAGATGCTTAGGTTACTTGAACAATCAATGAGGGCTGGTATTTTGGACTAGGCAACTGATTATCTAGCAGGCTGTATAGTGAAAATAGACTGTGTTATATACAATTTTTAAAAGCACAAGTAAATCTCCATCTTAAAATCACTCTGAGCTCATGAATTTTAAATTCCGACTCTTTCTTTTTCTCTGCTGCTTTTGGCCTGTGCTGTTCACTGTCCTCAACAGTGCCAAGAGAAATCCTATTCTCATTCTTCAAAATCAAGTTCAAATCCAACCTTCTCCAAGAACCTTCTATGATCATCTTAGACAGGAGTCCATTAATAATGCTTCTGAACACATAGCACATATTATCATTCTAACAACTGTTCATTGTCAAGTCCTTTAAAGCTTTAATGCATTTTTTCACTTCTCACTTATCTCATTTGAGCCTCAAAAAAGCCCTGAGATAAGCAGAGCAAGAATTAAAATTATATCTCCAAATGGCTGATTCAGGTCTAGAGAATGAAAGCATTAAGTGAGAAAAATAAAAATAGCTATATTAATAATATGAGAAAATTGAGGTGTAAAGAGGTTAGGTAACTTGGTAAAGGCCACAAAAATCTTTAGAATAGAGGCTCAAATCTATGTCTTCCTAATCAACTATAGCCCTATTTATATTTACCATCAGGGCAAAGTTCCACTCCCTGCAGTATAAACAACTTAAAGAGAGAGAGTAGGAGTCATTGTCTTTCCCCTCAGAAGCTTCAAGAATTCAGACTTTGTCTATGAATAAAGACCATGTGCTTTATAAAATCAGGTTTCAGACGACTCTTGTACCTCCTTGTTTATTTGGTTCTTGGCTATCTTACTAACTAGGTAAGTGACACCTAGGTGGGTGGATATCAAACAAAGTATTATCAAAAATTGGAAAATATTTTTGGAACATATATTACTACAAACATCTTTCTATTTTGGTTTGGTAAATGCAGATTAACTTATTAGTAAACAATTTAAACAGTCAACAAAAGTCTTTTGTAGCTCTCTCCATTTAGTGAAATATATCAAATTTGCTAATATAGAAACAGTAATTGCTTTGATTATAGGGAATTTTTCAACTAGATAAAATTCCTTCATGGCATACTAATTTATTTCAGGTTAATGAATGAATGAATGAATGAATGTTATGGTATATAATCAAAGAACTGTAATTCTTCAATTGGCAATTTTCATTTCTCCTTCAACGGATATTTACTGAGTACTTAATATTTGCAAATCACTGTTTCTTTAGTACTGCCATTTTATAACACTACTCTATAATCATATGTAACTATCACATCTACATCATTTATTTGAATAGAAAGACACTAGCCTATTAGGAAGTCATTGACAACTACACACTTTTTCTCATACTAATGGCCTTCCAAATAATTAATACTTTTTTAAAACCATACTATTAGGGCATCAGGGGACGACTTCTCTGACTCAGAAATTATATTAAGATTTTTCACCCTATGGCTGGTTCCAAGTGAACATGAACTCAAAGAATACATGTTAGCCAACTTAAGAGAAAGAAATAAAATATTCTATTATCAAACACACTTTTATATAAAATCACCAAAGAAAGGCATTCAAGAACTATTAGCTTCTATCTGACAATATATGAAAAACTTAACATGAAGGTATGGACTTCAAAACAGAAATTCTTCCACGTGTATATTCATCAAGTCTCTTTTTACTATATTTATAAAAAGTGCTAAGCCAAACCTTCTATATAAATTGTTGATCCCTCTTGGGACAGTGGTATTGTATCCTGGGTCAAGTCAAAGAGTAAATCTGGAGAATCATCCGATTCAACTTGTGATGAATTCTTTGTAAAATCCTGTAAAAAGTGATAATTATTTTGTTTCATAAAGTTTTGTAAAGATAAATTTAACTGTATGCCAATACTATAAAGATAACCTTAATGATTCAATTAGTAATGTTATAAAACACAAAGGTAATTATTACTCTCCATCAAAATTAGCAACTATTGGGTAAGAGGTATATGGGAACTATCTGGATTAGTTTTGTAATTTTTCTGGAAATCTAAAATTAGTTTGAAATAAAAAGTTAAAATTAAAAAATAATGATAATATTATTGGCAAAGTAGAGGCTATATTTTGGTACACTTTTCTGCAAGAAAATTTTGGCAGTATCTATCAATGGCTTTAAAAAATTCATATCCTTCGATCAAATTAGTCCAAATATTCCACTTCCAAGAATTTATGCTAAGGAAATGAAAATATTTAATGGAGAATTATTTATAATAGCAAAAAATAAAAACCTGTATGTCCAACAATGGAGAGATGGTTAAATAAATTAATTGATAGATTAACATGCAACATCATTTTTTGAGAAATATCCAATGACAAAGAAAAATGTTTCCAATATAAGGTTCAGTGAAAAAAGAGGAACCGATACCTGTGTATAAAATATAGTCCTGATTGATATACTCTATATACCACACTAACCATCTGCAGAAAATAAAATCAAAATACAGTATGTATTCTCTTCTGTTTCTTTTCTAGCCTCCCCCTCGATACATATTACCTTTATAATGGGAGTATAAGGATCTTGCTTGCGTGTTTTTGCTTACAAGTTGAGACACAATCAGGTTTTAAGAATTTTACTTTGCTACTAAGTTTTCTGTTGACATGGGTCTGTTAAGAAGTTATGGAGACAAATATTGAAGGGACCCAAACCATCCCATTCCTAGATTTTGAGGCATAAGAAGTAGATTTCTGCATTTGAGCCTTAACGTGTATTATATAAGGTCAATGCGGCTATATGACTTCATTGTAACGAAGCACAATCTTACTGCAAAGTAAATATTTTCTCCAAATATTTGCACTTAAAAATGGAAGATATTCACTAGCAATTTCCAAAATAGTTCTATAACAGAAGTTCCTCCAAATAAAGTGAATACTTTAAACCCTTTCTAGGTGATAACTCTGGTCAATTAAGTACCACCATTTCAGAGAGTAGACACATTATTCAACAAATAACTTGTTAAAGTAATTCTCCAATTGGGAATTTTTTATATCTCTTGACATAGTTCAGAAAGATAACAAATACAATGGTAAGGTACAATAGGCGATAGACTGGGATTCAGATGACCTGTCCATTTATTTAACTATGGAACCTTGGACAAGTCACTTCTGAGATTCAAGTTATTCACCTTTCCAACTGAAATAATAGCCACCAACTATTGTCTATTTAAAACGTACTTGCCTCTTTCACAGTACATGTATTCTATCAAGCAGTTGTCACAGTATTACTAATAAAGGCCTAACAGTATCTCCCACTTTACAAATAAGTAAACTAAAGTTAAGTATGATGAAGCAAGTTTCCCAACACAACCCAGCTTGTTATTTATGATGAAGCTCGAATTAGAACCCAAGTTGGACTGATTATAAACCCTTAAGCTATATCACACTGACTTTAAAAGGGATAATAATAATCATTGTCTCCCTGCCTGCCTGAAAGAGTTGTTGAAGAAAAGAGAATGAAAAAGTTTAAAAATTACAGAGAAAATTCCCTTACATAGGATTCTCAATTCATCCGAGAATATATGTCATTCTCAACCCTGGCTGCACATTAGAATCACCTGGAGAGTTTAAAAAAAATCTATCATGCCAGGCCTCACCCCAGACCAACTGACAAAAATCTATTTCTAAAAAGCTCCCTAGGATTGGGAACCTGATGGAGGAGCTTTGATTAGACAACCACGCCCACAGAAACAAAAAATTCTGAGTTTGAATGAGCTCTAGTTTCTAACTTTTCTAATACAAAAAGATACCCCCCCATACCCTTTGTTATTCTTTCTCCCCAGGTCCAACTAGGAATGACTTTCATCTATTTGCATTTAAATAATGCGCCCTTTTTTTTTCTTAGATATCAAACAGCTTATGATAGCATGAGAAAACCACTGAATTAATCTGATTCCAACTAAAAATCAAATAAGTTTTGCATTTCTGGTAGCCTGTGTGCACAAACTTTTGGGACCCCTCTCCCTGGTCTAACAGGTGAATCTAGCAAGCGAGCTACATAGGGTTAAGGTCAGTACAAAAATCCATGCTGTCCTGTGAGGCAGCCACGCAGGCCATCGTAAGCCTGTGTTAGAATGACCTTGCAGCCCCACACCTCATGACTGAAGACACCAGCTGGAGAGTTCCACAACAGGAAGATAAAAGGTACCTCGCTGTCACATTTCCCCAGCTGCATTTCTTGGAGACTGAAGGAAAATTTAACAACCCTAGCCTTGCCGCCCTCCACACAGACAACAACAACATTCCAAGCCTCGTTTGACATATAACCAAAAAATTCTTGTTTATGTCATCGTTGAAGTATGTGACTATTAGATGTGTAAGCCCTTTCCTGCACATGCACTGCCTTGTTAAAAAGTATATAAACTACACTCAGATCTGTAGACCCTGGAGCAGTGCCTCAGAATACTCTGTTGGACTATTTCCCAGGACTCGAGTTCCTCACTTTGATTATCGAATAAACTCCTTCATTTATTTCCTAGACTCTTTATTTCAGTCAACACCCGCCATCTTCAGATACACCTATTAAGTTTCTAAAAACATTAAAGCAGCCTGTGGATGCTTAGGGGATCCAAGTTTGAGAACCAGTGGTCTGGGTAAAGGTTTTTTTTTTTTTTTTTTTTTTTAAAGATTTTATTTATTTTATTTTTATCCCCCCAAAGCCCCAGTGGATAGTTGTATGTCGTAGCTGCACATCCTTCTAGTTGCTGTATGTGGGACTCGGCCTCAGGATGAACGGAGAAGCGGTGCCTCGATGTGCACCCGGGATCCGAACCCGGGCCACCAGCATTGCAGTGCGCGCACTTAACCACCAAGCCACAGGGCCGGCCCTGGGTAAAGGTTCTTATTTTAGAAATGAAGAAAGTGAGGCCCAGAGAGGTTGTGACAATGCTCTAGTTAGGAACAGAGACAGAATGAGCACTCAAGGCTCTCATTTTCAATCCAATTTCTTAGACTACTAGTCCAGGGCTCACAGGGCTAATTGTTTCAGAACACAGATACAGGTTTTCCAAAATTCAAATTTTTGCTTGAAAGTTCAAATTTTATCATTGGCAAGATTACTATCAGTTGTTTTTTTTTTCCCGTGATAGGCACACTTGGTACATTTTTGAGGACTGTAAAACTGTGTGTGGCAGACAGACTCTAAAGGTGTCCCCCACGATTCCCTCATGATATTTAAACCCTTGCGTAATCTCCCCTGGAGTGTGGGCAGAACCCGTGATTGCTTCTAATCAAGAGAATATGGCAAAAGTGATGAGGTGTACATGATTATGTTACATAGCCCCTGTTGCTGGGGCTCTCTTTCCCTTGCTGGCTTTGAGGAAGCAATCATGTTAGGAAGGCCTACAAAGCCAGGAACCCAGGGTGGTCTCCAGCTGACAGCAGGAAGAAACTGACGCCCTGAGTCTGACAACCCACAAAGAGCTGGATACTGCCAACAACCATATGAGCTTGGAAGCAGTATTAAATGACACTGCAGCTCTGGCCAACACCTTGATTACAACAACCTTGTGGGACCTCAAAGCAGAGTAGCCAGTTAAGCCATGCCTTGACTCTTGACTCACAGACACCGTGAGATAATAAGTGTACACTGTTTTAAGCCGCTAAGTTCGTGGTACTACTGTTATGCAGCAATAAATAATCAATACATAGTGCTTTGTCAGTCATCCTTTCAAGCAAAAATGGCATTGCATTAAAAAAAAGCAGCTAGTTCAGCTTGCAATTCAATCACATGAGTGCTTTTCCTCAAGCTAACCTTCACACTGCGGATAAAGAAATGTTTTATGCATACTACCCATTTCATCACACAGACTATTTAAAAAGAAATGTATTTAAGGGTTGAGAGTTAATAAAATCAGCAACAATTTATTACTTCTTCAAGGATATTCTTAAGTGAAAGTGAAATTTTTCTACTGTGAGTGCTTGGTGGTCACCAATACAAAAATTACTAGCACAGTTTGGTGCCACTGCCTTGATTCACATTCAGTGCACCAGCAGTTTTACCGTCCACTGCTTTTCCATCACCAGTGCAAATGTAGACAGAGCCAAAAGCACAAATGTCTTAGTGTTATTATGACAACAATGTTAACCTCACCAACCTCTGAAAGAGTCTCAGGGAACCCCAATGGTCTGTGGACTATACCATTGCTCTAAGGCAATGCTTCTATTTTAAAAAGTATATACTTAAATGAGTGGATAGAAGGGTGTGTGTGCATATTTTAAAAACCCTGGGCTAACTTGGATTGAAATCCCAGATCCATCCTTTACCAGCTGTGTGGCCCTGAGTGAATTATTTAGCCTCTTGGAGCCTCCGTTTCCTCAACTATAAAATGCAGATAATAACCGTGCCTACCTCATGGGGAAGTCATAAGAATTAAATGAGATTAATTTATATATAGCATTTAGAACAAAGCCTTACCCATATTATCAGATTAAGAAATGTTAAATATTAACCATTATCTATTATTTCTGTTAAACATTTTAAAAACTAAACTATGAAGGTATGTTTTCAGAATAAACAGCAACAATGACCTCAGAACAATCTTCCCAATTAAGAATACCTGGTTCAGTTTTCCATCTTAAGAATTTTGCCATTATGTAATATTTATTACTGATTACACTTTTTTACTCACCTTTAGATAGCATAGTTTTCAATACTATATCTACTGAATTTAAGCATATGACTTGATTTATTAACAGGATGAATAGTTAGTTCCTGCAGTTATTACTTTGGATGTTGGTTGAGCTATCATAAAGATGGTGACATTTTCTGATAGTGATTATGCTTCTACTGGAACTGTGACTGGCTATGATAGTCCACGGTTATAACTGGGTATTATAATATTCAATGTGTCCCTGAGCTAATTGTGTAGTTTCAGACACACTTACAGGTTTAGACACCGTCCGAACAATAACAGAACTTGGTGAAGATTTAGATTCAGGATGAAATCTAGGCAAGGCATCCACTGGATTTGATGTTGGGTCTTTGTAGTGTTGACTAGTAGGCTTGAAGGCATCAGTAACACCTGTATTTTAAAATTATATAATATATGGTGTATATTCCTATACAACAATTTTGTCAAAATATTTCACTTTACAATTAAAATAGTACAATAATACTGTACCTTGACTGAGTGTCTCATTCTTTATTCCTTTTGAAGATGAGCTGGAATTACCTCTGTTCAAAATATCTATAAAAATTATATTTATTTTATAATTTTGTATTTGAATGAAATACATATTAAGATAGAAAAAACTTTCCAAAAATATATCTATACGCAACCAATAATTGAAGTATATTTCTTTCTATTCCATATGCAATCAATAATTGAAGTATATTTCCTTCTATTAATGGTGACAGGATTGTATATAGACTTGGGTTCCTATGACTTGAAATCAAGCCCTTCTCCAATCTCCATGCCACATTCCTACCCCTAAAATTCTGGAATTTTCATTATGGGCAAGCTGATTGGATTATATCTGCCAATTCTCTTGAGTTCTGAAAGGGACACTATCAGAGACTGCAGACTAAGTTGAACCTACAGTTTACCAGAGTATCTCAAATCTACTACTATACCAAAAGTCAATTTGAGCCTGACATGACCCTCTGGATAGATTTAAGATTGCTCACTCTTAGCCCCTGTGAACCCATAACTTCTGGGTTATTGAGGAAACAAATGAAAATTTGGAAGAGTAGAGATTTGCCTTAAACTGCTAATCAGGAAAAGGTACAAAGCATAAAAAAAATCCCATAAAACCTCAAAAAATTTCCTTTTTTCCTCTCCTAGTAGAAAAGAACCAGATCTCATAAAATAATTCTATGAAGGGCCACACAAAAGTAGAATTGTTCTATGATAAAAGAAATGCAGTGCTCTATGACTAAGCACTACAGAAGTCTTCTAGGAGAAAAATCTGCTTATTTAAACAACTTGATATTGTTTTCATTCAGAAATTCAAGATAAGTATTTACTCAAGCCATTAAAGAGCTATTTCTATAGTACTTTTTGGTGACTACAGTCTATCAAATACAAGTTTTTACCCACTCTCCCCTCCCTATGGTGGTGCTATGTAAATATTTAGCTCATGTTCCATATGCTAAAAATATTTTGTGGCTCACACATAAAACATCAGTAAAACCATTTAAATTCCAAGTTATTTTAGAAAAGAAATTTCACTGGAGTCAACTTTCGTTTTGATAGAATCACTTAAAACTAATACACATTGTTCTAGTTGAGTACTGTTAACAGTCACCTACAATTGATATAAATCCAACTTGAACTGTCATTCTTTCAATAATAATTTTGAAATATATTTCAGTATAAAAATAATCACAGTGACTAGGAAATAATAATTAAGAGAATATACTATTTTGTTCCACTATCAGCAACAAACACGCCAAATGTCTAGTTCATTTTATAATTGAAGTGGCATTCCGCTTAGCACCTCTCAATTTGCCACAGGAAATGATATTGAGAATTAAATTTAATTAAATTCTTCTACTTCTGATAAAACTAAATAGAAGTGCTCTTTCAAATTTAGCTCCAAGAGAAGCAAGAACAAGGCATTCAGAAAATTAAAAACTCGTCTCATAACCACACTATTATGCCCTGCCATGTTAAGTAAGAAAACACTGGTATGCTGGCTATATTCCTTGGTATGCTGGTAAATTCTCCTGGCTTAAAAAAGGCAAATATAATGGAAAAGAATCTGTTTCCTCTTTCTCCCCTGAAATTCAGTATGTTGTTCCTCTGCACTTCGCACATGTTTGATCGGACATTTTAACGAGTATCATCAGTATCTTCACTTTAACATTATAACAACGTCAAGTCTAATTACTCTAACATAAATTTTACAATCCACAAAGGTACTGGACACATTCTGCTAGAAACCCATGAAGATTAAGTATGCTGATTGTCTGCATCGTCCAAGTACAGTGGCTGAAGACCAGGCCCTCCCTCCTTCATGAATATAATCAGTAGTTGCTGGAAGATGGGTACGGCCAGAACTACAGCCTGTGTTAGTACACAGACCAGAGATTCTATAGTCATGCAGCGCCTATACGTTTTGTAGCCATGAATCAAGATGACACTGTGATGAGGCAGTTGCCTGGATGTGAGAGCCCCCATCAGAGGCTAACACAAACTTATTTAGTATTCTGATATTTTAAGTAAAGCATTCCAAATGCTTCCTTTTCTAGGTACATTTGGCTTAAGGGAGAAAAAGAAAAATTAACAAATAAGCAGGTAAATAGGCTACTTGGCTCCACTAAAAGATTATGATTTACAATCTCAGAAGGTCTACAATGTCGTTAGGTAATCTTAACCATTAGTTAACTTAGTTAACATTTTTCTTTTCTCTCATAAGATATTTTAATCTCTCATCTCCTTATTCAAGTCCCCAACCACCTCCTTCCTTTGAGTCTCACAAATTCTTACTGATCTCTATGCGCTCTCACCTCCAACTCGTTACAGAGTAACAAGGACATATAAGACAGCCCACAGGTTTTGCCATTAGAAACGTCTTACAAAACTTTAATGAAATTAAGCGCTTACTTGAAATGGCTGGTTTTGATCTTGATATCTCTCCAACAAAGATCAGCTCATCATCGTCTTCATCCTGAATTTCTTCTACTTTCTTCTGCCATGGTTCCAGCTCTTCTTCTTCACATTCCATAAAGAGTTCTGCCATTTTTGTATTATCTAATTTTCAAAAGGAGAGAAGTAAATCTTATTTTTTAATACTTTTTTGCAATACATAGTATGATATTTAAGATGTACTTTAGTAATCCTAATAGCAGTTACTGAATTGATATTTATAGTCAGTACACGATAGCAAAAGTAAGAAACTCAGGGCCAGCCCCAGTGGCCTAGTGGTTGAGTTCAGCACGCTCTGCTTCGGTGGCCCAGGTTCGGTTTCCAGGCACGGACCTACACCGCTCTGTTAGCAGCCATGCTGTGTTGGCAGCCCACATTCTAAAAAATAGAGGAAGACTGGCATGGATGTCAGGTCAGGGTGAATTGTCGTCAGAAAAAAAAAATCCATTTCCTTCAATAAAACAATATACTAAAAAAAGAAGTAAGAAACTCAGAACTCCATCTCTAAGATCTAAACGAGTAAAATTAAGCTAGCTAGCTAGATAATGGATAACAGTAATTATTTATAGTGGCCAATAAATTACAGGAACAATCAAATCCAATCAAAGTGAGTTTCAGTTTTATAACTGGAATATACCTATGAAAAGGATTATACCTATTATCTGAAAAAAGACCCACAAACCTCTGTACTAACAAAAGGGAAATAAACTAAGAATAAAGAGACAACAGATGGGAGATATACTAGAAAAAGTGAACCAGATTCAGGGATATCAGGCACAGAGCAAAGCAGGGATGAGGTGCTAGAATGAAAACAGGGGAATTGAGTGAGGCTTATTCCCTGCCAGGGCAGATTAGACATTTCTCACCTGAAGAAACCTAGCAAAGAACATACTGTGAATACCACCAGCCTACAAGGGCTGACCAAGCACACAGAGCTCATAGGAAGCATTTTAGTGCCTCATTCTTAAATATGGATGGACAACCAATGAGCACCAGAAAGAGTAAAACCTTCAATGTGAAAGACCAAAGCAATAAAACAGGTTAAAAGATCTTAAAGAAAACAGAGATAATACAGAGGGCAGGAGAAAATATTAGAAAGAATGTAATTAGCATTTTTAAAGAGATTAGACAAGAATGTTTCAAGAAAACAGAAAAGATTAAATGTCTTTTCAGAAAACAAAAAGATGAAAAATAAGATAGCCAAAAATCAGAAAAAAATCAAATGCCAAAGTTGAGTAAATGTCCCATAAGTGGAAGTAAAAGACAAAAAATACATATATATATATATATATTAACTAGAGAAAACAAGATTGTTAGAAAATCAATTTCAAAGGTACAACTCACTTAATAAAAGTTCCAGAAAAAGAATAGAGAAAAAGGAGAGAGATGAAATCAAAGAAAAAATACAAGAAAAATTCCCAGTTCTAAAGGACATAAATATCCAGATTGAAAGGGCCTACCAGAACCCAGCACAATGATCAAGAAAAAGACCTACAGTAGAGGGGCATATCATGAAATTTTAGAATGCTGCAGATAAAAAAAAGTATCCTAAACTCTGAGAGAGAAAGAGAGAGAGACAGAAGAGTTAGAATAATGCTTTCAAAAGTCTTAGTAAAACTAATTTTAAATTTAGAATTCTATACCCAGCCAAGATTTTCTTCAAGCATGAGGGACATATTCTTTCATCAAGAATAAAGACCTCCCGTTCTTCTCTCACACAAAAGTTACCTCCCGTTCACCCTTTCTTTCTTAGGAAGAATCCACCATAATATGAGACTTAAGAAGAAGGAAGACACAGGATGCAGAAAACATGACATTCAACACAATACAAAGACAAAGGAAAGTCCCAGGACAATAGTTGTTCAATAGGTCTAGAGAGCACTAAGACAGAGTAGAGCAGAACATTACTCCCAGGAGGAATGTCTCCAGGAGACCAGACATACATACAAAAGATTAAAAATTAAATTGTTAGATTACCTGACAAGTTTTGCCATGTAGAAAATTGAGTGAAGAGGCTACAGAAGGGTGTGAAAAGACTTGGCTATAGATTTTAATAAAATATAGCAAATTTTTAAAAATGAAAAATTTAAATTGCTGCATATATAAAAAGAGAAAAAAGGAAATGTATCCATAACATATTAATTTCATAGTACTATGCTCATCAGCAAACAATATTTATTATGGCCATCATAATAAAAATCATTAAAAAATGTGATTTAACCAAAAATTGAGACACAACTACATTGGGAGATGCTTGGAGGAGTAAGTGTAAGAAAACTAAAACCCTCATATTCCTTGATAGAAAAATTTTTACATAATGGCAAAAATTGATGATTCAAGAGATGGAAGTATGTATATGTGTCTTAAAAGTTTAGAAATATGCAAATAATTATTACAAAAACAGCTAAACTAATGAAAGTGGATGTCTTGAAAAAATAGGGAGCACAGAGGCGCAAAACACATGCACACTCATGTGCACATCCCCCTCTCTCACTCTTTCTCTCACCCTTCAAGAAACTGTGGTTATGCAACCTATAACTTTTAGATTATTTGTCTTTTTAAAACTATGCATGTAATGGTTTGGTCAAAAAAAGTACTGAGGGAGCACCTAAATTAAAATAATAGCAGTGGGAATGGATACAAATGGTACTAGATATGTGGAGTGAGACGTGGATGGAGAAACTAAAAAAAATAATAAAAACAAAACAAAATAATAATTCCAGAGTTCTGGCTTAGACGATGATATCTTTTTATTTTTAGACTGATATCTTTATCTTTTAAATGCAGTAATTTCTAAAGGTAACTTTACTAGATCAAAATAATGTCATTTCTACTTTTTACTCAAAATTAAAAAGTACTATGGAAAACAATGATTTGGGGATGGCATGCAAAAGAAACACTTTAACAAATTGGTGCTATTCATTGACAAAATTTTAGATTTAATTTCCCCTCTTATACAGGTATGCTAAAATCATTTCTTGGCATAATGTTGTTTAATGTTTCGTAGTCCACCTACCACAAAACAAAACAAAAAACCTTCCCACCTTCCCAAATGTAACCAATTTTATGAACTGATCCCTTTCTTTTCTAAACTATACTTAAAAATATATATACAAAATGTTCTAAGTCAAATAATTAAAAATGTAATTCATAGTTTAGAATTTCCGTATTCTGAATACTTGAAAACACCAACCTCATTGTGTCCCTTGGAGCCCTCATTTGCACTGCTCCTTCTACCTAAAATATCCTTCCTCCTTTCCTTAAACTGTCCACATTATTTGAGTGTAGTAGAAAGAGTATGGACTTGACATGAAATTGAATAGTTCAAATCCTCATTACACCATTTCAAATCATGTGACTGGAGAAATTACTCGAATCTGTTTCCTCATCTCTAATACAGGTACAATATCTACCTAATAGAAGTGGTAATGTAGATTCAGGAAAATGCCATCTAAAGTACCTAACTTCAAGCGGATACTCAACAAAATATTAATTCCTTGCCTCTTCCCAACTCTTGGTTCAATTATAACTTCCTAAACCATGAGACCTTGTTTTTCTTTTCTCTCTTACTACAGTGACAGTCTATGCCAAGCAATTCAAGATTTACTATATATGATCTCAAACTGCTATTTTTGTGTGTGTGTGTGAGGAAGATTGGCCCTGAGCTAACATCCGTTGCCAATCCTCTTTTTGCTTGTGGAAGATTGTCCCTGAGCTAATATCTGTGCCAGTCTTCCTCCCTTTTGTATGTGGGTCGCCACCACAGCATGATTTGAGGAGTGGTGTAGGTCCGCACCCAGGATCCGAACCCGCAAACCCTGGGCCACCAAAGCAGAGTGCGAGAACTTAACGGCTACACCACCGGGCCGGCCCCTGCTCACTATTTCTTAATGTGTCTTAACTGTACATGTCTAACTTCAAAGTAAGCTCCTTGAGAGTGAAGAACATATTTTTTTCTTTCTTTGTATTTCCTCCTACACACAGCAGTCTACTGGATATGCAGTCTACTGGATATGCATTAACATATGATAATCTATGGGCTAAGAAACTAGGCAATGCCAAACTTTAAAAAATGAGGGTTACCAGGGGCTAGGGGGGTGGAGGGTGGGCACAAGGGGTGGAGAGATGCACTATATGGTGACTGATAAACAATAATGTACAACAAAAATTTCACAATTAAAAAAAAGAATAAAGTAGGAAAGGCTATGCTGCCCCCCCAAAAATGAGGGAGTCCCACATATACTGATAATAAAAAAAAAATCATCCATATCTATGTTGATACCATGGTTTTGATACCATGCCAACACATAGGTCTTCCTCCTTCTTTTTAACTGGTACTGCCACTGTTAGTATATTCAAGATAAATTGTTGAGTAAAAAAATTTTAAAGGCACAGAATAGCATATATAGTATGATCTTATTTAGAAATAATTTAGGGGCCGGCCCAGTGGTGCAAGTGGTTAAGTGCTCGCGCTCTGCTGCGGTGGCCCGGGGTTCGCAGGTTCGGATCCCGGGTGCACACCGACGCACCGCTTGTCAAGCCATGCTGTGGCAGTGTCCCATATAAAGTAGAGGAGCATGGGCATGGATGTTAGCCCAGGGCCAGTCTTCCTCAGCAAAAAAAAATAGGAGGAGGATTGGCAGATGTTAGCTCAGGGCTGATCTTCCTCACACACAAAAAAAGAAAGCAATAATTTATTTTTTGTCTAAGCATATAAAAAAGTTTATGATTATGTATACCAAGCAGATAATAGTAGTTATCTCTAGAGACGAGGAAGAAACACTTTATTTCTACTTTACTAAAATTTTTTATTGTATACTGTTCTTTTTTTTACTATGAACATGTATTACTTTAGTAAATTTAAGTATTTTTTTTTTAAACTGTGCCCACCTCCATCGCTCTCACCTTTTCTCATGAAGCAAGGTTATCAGTACAGAAGCCAAGCATACTAGCATCACTTACAGGAGTAATACTTACTTTTTGGTTGAAAAGGGTTGTCGTCGTCCATCAAGTTGCAGAGTCACCTAAGCACCAACATATGACATCAATCAATTTTATGAATCACTTTAAGTAACACCAAATATTGAAACATGAAACTTGGGATTCTGAAATCTTTGGGTCTAATTTCAATCTCCAGCAAACTCACCATGTGACTCCAGACAAGGTAGAAAGTTAAGTTTCAGTTTTCTGCCCTATAAAATAAAGATACCTACCATTAGGGTGGATTTGTTAAATTAAATGTACACACATTTAATCTTTTTCTCCTACAAAAAGCTTACATTTTGAGTTTGATTTGTTTGATATACACGTGCTACTCACTTTCCATAATTGATTCATTCCTGAATGAATGCAAATTTATTAAATAAAATTCTGTATGTATTAAGCATTTATTACTTGAAGAAATCTGATGAATTATTAAATTACAAATAATTTTTGAAAGGCATCTTTTTGTAAAAATGAGTAACCACCCTGTAATATATGTTTTAGTAAATCTGAATTTTGAAATGCTAAGTGACATTAAATGTTACTTATCCTTCACATTTCAAAAATAGATATAATTATTATAAGAAACCATTCAAAGAAATTTTTTGTTTATTTTTTTTTCATTTCTTATCAATTTTAACTGAGAGGAACAGAAAATTAGTTGGATAAACTTCATCATAGATTAATTCATTAATAAATAATTACTGATTGCCCCTGTGCTCAAGGTAATTAATGTGCTCAGTTCTAGGGAAAAAATTAGGATGAATAAATTATAGTCTTTGCCTTCAGAATTTTATAATCTGTCTATGGTTCCTAGGGCTTTTAAAAAAGATAGTATATTAAACATTATCACAAAAACCTTTGAACTGCTTTCTTTAATACAGGAATTTGTATACTGAATTCTCATGCATATACCATATTTTTTACTTAAAAAATAACTGTGCCTTAAAAAAAAACTATTTCAATTATTAAAAAAAAGTGAAAAATTAGACATCAGAAACCTAAAGTATTAGGATAAACAGAGCTAATTGAGTCTTCACATTTTTCTTTATCCTCAGACTGGCAAAAGCAAGCTTTCCTGCTTTTACCAATTCCGAACCATTTAGACTGATTTAGACCAATGGAAAAAAACTACTTTAACTCCAGAAGAAGTTACTGGTATAAATGTTTGAATTACTATTACAAGAATCTCTAGCGAATTCTGTCCTTAAGTAAATTTCCCTAGTTCTGAGGTTTAAGTATTCAAATCTCTTTAACTCAATTATTTGAATAGTTACTGCTTGTCCCTAAAGTAGAACTAAGGTAATGTATATGTCAAGTAGATAAATCCATGTCAATTCTTGCTCAGCATTAAGGACCTACTGCTACCAAGAATACAGAAAGGTTTTTAAGGCTCACAACCACACAGCCTATGAGATTCATATAGGACACTTTTATTAAATGATCATATAAAATAACTATTGGCACAAATACCCTAAAATTAGTATTAAATGTACAAGTAGTCTATATAAACAAGTCACATCCACTGCCTATGACTCCACAGATGACTTTTGAGGCCCATAGCAGGCCTCAGTTGGTACATTCACAAACACTCTAAAAAAGTCAGAAATCCTCAGATGCTGTTAGAACCAGAACTTCGGTCTAAAGCTGTGCTATCCAATAAGGTAGTCAAGCCCTTCAAAACTATCACCACAAAAAACTCCCAAGTCATCACTTCTGAGTTTTGGTGGCAAAGCAAGGAATTCTATGGGAGATTGAGTCATCTGTCAGAGAAATGGAATCTCCACCAAACATGCAGTGAGGATCTTAGAACTCCTATAATAGCAATTCCAGAGTGCCTCTAGGTTCTGCAACTCAGAGTTGGCACCAAAATAGGCAGAAGAGAAAAGAACTCTCCACTTCAGCTATTGACTCAGGTAGAGATACTATGCCCATGTTTAACACATTGCTCCTATGGGGGGAAAATGAATCCCAAGTAACTGACAAATAAAAGACCTCTTGGAACACAACTCATTCAGTTTTTGGAGACTGCCTGTATAAATAATTAGAATTACTATTTAGATATTTTTTTTGGTTTCAGACTATCTTTTAAGAATTCATTCTACAAAATTTTCAAAAAACATTAATCGATTAAAATTGTTAAAAAGGTAAATTGTATGTTATATGTATTTTACCACAAGAAAAAATATTTTAACAATTAGTAGATACCATTTCACATCCACTAGGATGGTTGTAATAAAAGAAAATAACAAGTGTTGGCAAGTATATGGAGAAATTGGAACTCTCATATACTGCTGGTAGAAATATGAAATGGTGCAGACACTGTGGAAAACACTTGGGCAGTTCCTCGCAAAGTTAAACATAGTTACCATATGACCCAGCAATTCCACTCCTACTGAGAGAGAATTGAAAACATATGTCCATCAAAAACTTGTACATGAATATACATAGCAGCATTATTGATAACAGCCAAAAAGTGGAAACAACCCTAACGCCCAAATGATGAATGGATAAACAAAATGTGATATACCTATACAATGGAATAATATGCAGTCATGTAAATGAAGTATTGATATATACTACAATATAGATGGACGCTGAGAACATTATACTAAGTGAAAGAAACCAGTCAAGAAGACCATATATTGTATAATTTCATTTATATGAAACGTCCAGAAATGGCAAACCCATAAAGAAAGAGAGTAGAGTAACGGTTGCTTAGGACTGGCAGGGTTGAGGGGAAATGGGTCCTAATGGATATGGAGTTTCTTTTTAAGGTGATGAAAATGTTCTAAAACTGATTGTGGTGATGGTTGCACAACACTGTGAATATATTAAAATCATTGAATTGTACACTTCAAATGGGTAAATTGTATGTTGTGTAAATTACATCTCAATAAAACTGTTAAGAAAATAATAAACTGGTAAGATATAAGCCTGGAAGTGAGGGAGTCACTATGTGGAGAAAGACTGCCTAAGAAAAAAGTCAACAAAGAGACTAGCAAAGCCATAAGATCTTAGGGTAGATAAAAAGAGGGTGGGGAGACAGTCAAGTTCTGATCCCATTTAAACACTTGAAGCTAGCCATGCTTGAAGTACATTCACTACTAAGACTTTTCAATTAAGAGTGGGGATAATTTTTCATTTCTGATTTAATCTACTTTGAGCTGTTTCTGGTACTTGCATTCAAGAGCAGTAATACACTTACCAATAGATTACCCCAACGTTTTTCAAACTAACAGACCTCTGGGGAAAATAGATATATTCCAGATGGTGCAAGAGAACTCTGAAACAATATATTGTTTTGCTGTCTGTCTAAAAAAATTAACATAAGCATACTCTTGGGATCATCTGGATGGCCACCTTATAACTAAGCTCAGTCACATAATTTCAGTACTCATTTTTTTAAATTGAGAAATAATTGACATATAACATATTAGTTTTAGATGTACAAAATAATGATCTATATATGTATATATATCAAAATGATCACCACAATAAGTCTAGTTAACATCCATCACCACACATAGTTGCAATCTTTTTTTCTTGTGATGAGAACTTTTAAGATCTTCTCTCTTAGCAACTTTCCAATATACAATACAATCTTATTAATTACATTACATCCCCAGGACTTAATTATTTAATAACTGGAAGTTTGTACCTTTTGACTACCTTCACCCAATCTGCCCACCCCCTACCTGGCAACCACCAATTTGTTCTCTGTATCTGAGTTCAGTCGTTTTTTTTGTTTTTTTAGATTCCACATATAAGTGAGTTCATGTGGTATTTGTCTTCCTCTGTCTGACTTATTTCACTCAGTGTAATGCCCTCAAGGTCCATCCATATTGTCACAAATGGCAGGATTTCCTTCTTTTTTCTTTTATAGCTGAATATTCCATTGTATATATACACATCACATTTTCTTTACTCATTCATCCAATGATGGACACAGGTCGTTTCCACGTCTTGGCTATTGTAAATAATGCTGCAGTGAACGTGGGGGTGCAGATATCTTTTTGAGTTAGTGTTTCTATTTCCTTTGGATAAATATCCAGAAGTGGAATTGCTAGATCATATCAGTACTCATGTTTTTCTCTGTATTTACTACTGCATTGTCATCAAGTACTATCACCTTTACTGCTGCTGGCTACTAATAAAAGAACAGAGGGAGAGAATATCCAAATGGTGCATTTGCACTAAATGAAGGGCAAATGACGATATGGTTAGCTATAAAATGAAGGTATTGAAAAGGTTCAAATGGAAAAATCTTGCTATGATAGGTCTTCCTATGAAAAATCTTGTTTAGATAGGTATGAAAAACTCAATACAAGTAGGCAGTGACTTTGTTTCATCAAAATATGTTATTCATTCACTGCATTAAAGTTGATTAAAATAGCATTGATTTTGTAGTTTTATTTGATTATTTTGTTTTATGGTTGTGTAAGAGCTCTAAGAATATTTTAAACATTTTCAGTAGAAGGGTGTCTATGAAAATGTTTTTCTTATAACAAGAATTAATTGGTACAGTATTCAAATCCAAGAAACATTGGATTACACCTTGGTTCCTTAGACAATTTCACTGGTACCTAAGCAATTCAAACTCTCAAACCAGATTTTGGGAACAAATCACATAATAATAGAAGGAAAACATAGGCTCACCATCTTTTCTTTGTGCAAGAAGTTTTTATATTGTGGAAATTATACATTTTTTTGAAAGTTTGAACACACGAAGTCCAGGTACATTTTGAGAAGATATTTCTTTAATAACTTTACTATTCTCCCCCTAAATTTTTTTAGGTTTTCAATTTTCATCACTGTTGATTTTCATACTTCATGTATTTGTGGAAAATAACTAGTTGACACTGAGATTTAAAATTTATTAGCATAATACTTTGCAAAGATTCCCTAAATTTTAAAACATTTTCTTTTATACTAAGTTTTGGGGATGGGGCACTATAATAAAATTTACATTCTGCAAAGTAATTTTTGTATCATATTCAGGGTAAAGACTTTATCTATAAAAATATGCTTTTATTGTAATTCATATGTAAAACACATGACCTGGAGAAAAAACTAATGCATAATTGGCCTTTCAAAGCCAAACTATATAATAAATATTTTATAAAGTTTCATAAGATATTCTATAATCACTAATTTCTAAAGTAACACAAAGAAGTATGTATTATTAATTAACTCACATTTTATAGGAGTAAAACTTACCCACTAGGGAAATGTCAAGTAAAGAAGTGGAGTACAATAATGGGAACACTGGACATAGGGGCTGAATAACTGAGTGGGAATTTGGAGTCTACCACTTGCTGGTTGCCAAACCTATAGGATGTTTAATCAACCTCTTTGAGCTTAGCTTTTCTGCCTGTAAGATGAAAACAGTAATACCTTCTTTGCATCACTACTGGGAAGATTAAATAAAACACATGAAAAACTGTTGTACAGTACTTGTATTATTTTGCTCAACTTTTCTTTCTTTACTGGAAGCCATACTACAAGTTGATCAATATAAGCACTAAAAAGAAAATAAAATTCTAGTTCACGTAAAGAACCGTCAAAATATTTCCACAAATAAAGCACACCAGATCAGTAGTTCTCAAACATTTTGGTCTCAGGATCTCTTCTTATTCTTAAAACTTATTGAGAATCCCAATGAACTTTTTGCTTATGCGGATTATATCTACTGATACTTACCATATTAGAGATTGAAACTCAGAAAAAATAAATATGTATCAATTTATTTAAAGTAATAATAATAAGCCCATTATATGTTCATATAAATATTTTTAATGAAAATAACTATTTTCTAAGACAAAAAATTTAATGAGAAAAGTGGCATTGATTTACATTTTTGCAAATATCTTTAATATCTGTCTTAATAAAAGACAGCTGGATTCTTTCATCAGCTCCTGAAATTTTTGTTTTTCTATGTATAAAGTTGAGCATCGTAGATGTTGGTATATGTAGGGGGTCCCGGAACCAACCCCCCACAGATACTGAGAGATGACTGTACAAGAAGCACACCATGTCTAAATCTTATTAAATATATAATAAAGTTGGTTTCACTATTTCTTTATTCTTTTTTTTTTTTTTTGTGAGGTGATCACCCCTGTGCTAACATCTGCCAATCCTCCTCTTTTTTTTGGAGGAAGACTGGACCTGGGATAACATCCGTGCCCATCTTCCTCCACTTTATATGGGACGCCGCCAAAGTATGGCTTGCCAAGCAGTGCATCGGTGTGCGCCTGGGGAAACCCGGGCTGCTGCAGTGGAGCATGCGCGCTTAACAGCTTGTGCCACGGGGCCGGCCCCTCTATTTCTTTATTCTTATATAATTTATAAAATGACTTAAAACAAATAAAAATGGTCCCTTGGACCCAGATGGTACACAGTGATGGCTATTTTTCTAGACACATTGAAAGTTAAGAAAAACACTCCTTAAAAGAAAACTGCTTTGCAAAGAATGAATCAAAAAAGTCTGGACATACATTTTTGACACAAATTACTGAATAAACCAAGTCTTCCTGAGTCATTATTTAAAACAACCTGAAAACCAAATATTTTTAAGTCCCTCTCTGAAGCAGGAAGACAGAAAAAATTATCCAGTATTATATCCTGAATTAATGAATATGTCATAAATACTTCTGATCTTTGAGAAGTTACTTTTGAAATAACAAAATGTTTTCAATATAAATTTCCAACATCCTATCTGTCACTGAAACTATGGATTACTTTCTATTTACAAAAATTGCTATTCATTTAGATAGTTCCCCTGTCCAATTAGTATAACAACAGCAACCAAAAAAATTTGATATGGTTCTAAATGTCCTCTTGAATAAAGAAAACAAGTGGGAGAGAAGAGAAGGTAGAAAATTATATATTCCTTTCCCCTTACTCTCCTTTTCTACTAAAAAATGCTCATGCTGAGTAGTAAAACAGAAGAAATGGCTGAAGAAATCAGATTGGACTAGAAAACTTAGCTGGGGAAAATGGTTTGAATAGGAGAAGCTGAAATTTGTTGCTCTTCAACATCAGGTCTTTTTTCAATGGGCTATTCTTCAACTTTTCAACAGGCTTGGAAGTAAAAACAATATTATTTAAATACTAAAAAGTTGAAAAGATATGCAAGCTTAAAAATAAAAATATAATGGAAAGGAGAATTGAAAAATATTTCTTATATTTTTCAGATGATCCTCCTTGCTTATTCTCCTTGACCAACTCACTCCCATAAAAAGTGGGGCATAATATAGTGAATTGAGCATTGGGGGAGGCATCAGTAGATCTAGGTTCAAGAACTAGTTCTATCACTTCCTAGCCTGTACATGACCTCAGTAAAGTCTTCTCCTTGAGGCTGTTTCCTCGCCCTCTAAAAAGTTCTATAAATGCCCCACAGCCCACTTCAAAAGGAGTGATATCAACGAAATATACAAGTGCAAGATATAATTATAGTGATATTTGTACTGATGTTAAAACATCAAGGGCACATAAACCTAACTTAATTTTATAAGCAAACCAGTGCCTTCATAGGCTCAGTAAAGTTTCTGCTTAAGGAGACAGTTTGAGTTTTCACTGTAACTCCCAAAGCAGAACGTCTCACAAATGCTAACAGGAGACTTCTGTAGTTTAAAACTCTTAATCCTTGGTTTCAATTTTACGTTTAATGGCACTAAAAGACATTAAAACACACAGTCCAAACCTGAAAACAATAAAAGCAAAATTTAAGTTCAGAGTTTAAAAAAAAAAAAAACTAAAAAATCTTTGCAAACAAAGAGAATCCCTTGGAGGAAGATCTCCCGTGCTTGCAGAAGCTGGTTCACTTGACATTTTCTTCTCTGATTTCTCCTTTAAAAAAGCATTAAAACTTGAGATAAGTTAAAAGGAACTCCCTCCGTGTCTAGAGAAGCATAAAACCTCAGAATGAGATAATTTTCTCATTAAGTGAAACCTGCAAATCTCACTGGTAAAAAATTGTGTATCTAACTCCACGTTTCTCCTCAGGGCTCCTCTCCTCTAGACAATAACGGAATGGAACACGATTTCTCTGACGGAGGATCGAAGTCCCTTTGGCAAGAACAAGGGTGTGAGCATTGAATGACCAGTAACCTGGGTGGGGGAAACTGGACAGAAAGGAGGGGCCCAAGGGGCCCTAAAGCCAGAAAGTTCGGAACCTTCTCTGGTGTCTTTTCCTATGACTGAAGAGATTTGTGGGTGGGCGGGTCTCGCCAAACATCAGGCATCAAACATACAAAAGACCAAAGGGAGTTGCCTCCAGAAAGTAAAGCCAAAACCGGGCTGGGGACAGACACACGCACAGGCCCCGTGAGGTGAGGAGGAGGCGGCGGCGGCGGCCCGCGCGGCCACGGCCTGTGCGGGCCGCTAAACCCCGCCGCCAAGCAGCTACCTTTCCGAGATCCCTCCCCCGCCGGGGCTGGCGCAAGATGGTGGCCCACCCGCCACGGCTCTGCCAAGCCCGTCCCCTCCCCCGCGCCCTGGGCGATCCCAGCGATACACGCCGGCATCCAGACCCTCAACCTGCCGTTCTCAGAGCAAGGCGGGCACCGCCGCTCGGGAGAGCCCCTGGCTGCTTCCGCGCGGCACAGGCGGGGGCGGGGGACACTTACCCCGAGCGGAGAAGGTGGAGAAGGTCGGCCTGACTGGGACTCAGAGAAGGAGGAGAAAGAGGAGGAGGAAAGGGAGGAGCGCGAAAACACTAGGCGGCGATCACAGCAACTGTAGCGGCCTCAGCGACTCCGAGCGAGGAATGAGCGCCTCAGACGAGGACAGAAGTATGTAACTACGCGCGCTGCCTCATGGGTAAACGCCAGCTCCTCCTCCTTCTTCCTCCCGCACATCCGGGTTTCTTTTCTAACCGACCAGGAAGGGCGGGCGGGGACATGTGCGCGGCCTTACACATTCTCGAAGGCAGCGCCACTCTCGGGTGGGTCGTGGGCCGTGAGCCACGGGCCGCGGGGCCATGGGGCCTGGGGCGGTAGGCCACGGGCCCAAGTGAGGGCTTGGCGCCAAGACTAATCTCAGTGAGCCTGTTGTCCAACCTGGGTTGCAATCCCGAAACTGGAGCTGCACACTGAAATTTAAAACTTGGAAATCTACAGCCCATGAAGGGGAGTTTTCCCCTAGATCCATCCCTAGAGACTAGAAAGTCCCAGTACCCTCCCTCTGCCCCTCTCTCAAGGCTGCCCAGACTTGTTTGGGCCCCCTGCTCTTCCCCGGGTCCTTTGAGTAATAAAATTTCTCTCAAATTCGCTCAGTGTATAGAGTGTCATGAGCCTCCACATCCGAACTAAAATTGGGCAGGGGGAGGGTCAATCTGCCTTGGCAGGTTGACCAGAAAACATTTGTAAACTAAACCAAAATTCCAATCCAATTTATTCTTTTTTCATGAAAAATGTAATGGCCAAGAAGATCAGAAGATTGTGGTAAGCAAATTTTCTCTGAAAAGAAAATGTACAGGAGAAGCTAAATTATAATAAAAAGAATGCCTGGTGAGAATGGAATCATCACATGGAAAATTGTTTGGATGGTTGACAGCTCTATCCTTAAAACTCCTCTTCCAGGGCCGGCCTGGTGGCACAAGCAGTTAAGTGAGCATGCTCCGCTGCGGCGCATGGGGTTCGCTGGTTCGGACCCCTGGTGCTCACTGACGCACTACTTGGCAAGCCATGCTATGGCGGCGTCCCATATAAAGTGGAGGAAGATGGGCATGGATGTTAGCCCAGGGCCAGTCTTCCTCAGCAAAAAAAGAGGAGGATTGGCAGATGTTAGCACAGGGCTGATCTCCTCAAAAAAACAATCAAACAAAAAAAAATCTCCACTTCTCCTACCTAAGTTCCAACTACATTTTTCAAGGAAATAGAACAAAGAATCCTAAAATTTATATGGAACAAGAAAAGACCCTGAATAGCCAAAGCAATTCTGAGAAAAAAGAATAAAGCTGAAATCACACTCCCTGATTTCAAAGTATACTACAAAGCTATGGTAATCAAAACAGCATGGTACTGGCAGAAAAGCAAACACACAGATCAATGAAACAGAATCAAGAGCCCAGAAACAAACCCATACTTTTATGGACAGCTAGTTTTTGACAAAAGAGCCAAGAACATACAATGGAGAAAGGAAAGTCTCTTCAATAAATGGTGCTGGGAAAACTGGACAGCCACATGCAAAAGAATAAAAGTAGACCACTATCTTACACCACACACAAAAATTAACTCAAAATGGATTAACGACTTGAAGGTAAGACCTGAAACCATAAAACTCCTGGAAGAAAACATAGGCAGTACACACTTTGACAGCAGTCTTAGCAGTATCTTTTTAAATATGTCTTCCCAGGCAAAGGAAACAAAAGAAAAAATAAACAAATGAGACTACATCAAACTAAAAAGCTTCTGCATGGCAAAAGAAACTGTCAACAAAACAAAAAGACAACTTACCAATTGGGAGAAGATATTTGCCAGTCATATATCCAATAAGGGGTTAATATCCAAAATATATAAGGAACTCATACAACTCAACAACAAAAAAACAAACCAATTAAAAAATGGGCAGAGGACCTGACCGGATATTTTTCCAAAGAAGATATACAGATGGCCAACAGGCACATGAAAAGATATTCACATCACTAATTATCAGGGAAATGCAAATCAAAACCACAATGAGATGTCACCTCAAGCCCATCAGGATGTCTATTATTAAAAAGACAAGAAGTAACAAGTGTTGGAGATGTTGTGGACAAAAGGGAATCCTTGTACAGTGCTGGTGGGAGTGTAAAATGGTGCAGCCTCTATAGAAAAATAGTATGGAGATTCCTCAAAAGGTTAAAAATAGAACTACCATATGATCCAGCTATTCTACTTCTGGGTATTTATCCAAAGAACACGAAAACAGTAATTTGAAATGGTATATGCACCCCTATGTTCATTGCAACATTATTCACAATAGCCAATACTTGGAAACAACCTAATTGCCTGTCAACGGATGAATGGATAAAGAAGATGTGTTGTGTATATACAATGGAATACTACTCAGCCATAAAAAATATGAAATCTTGCCATTTGCAACAACATGGATGGAACTTGAGGGTCTTATGCTAAGCAAAATAAGTCAGATAGAGAAAGCCAAATACTGTATGATTTCACTCATATGTGGAAAATAAAAAAACAAAATGACAACAACAAACGAACATGTAAATACAAACAATAGATTGGTGGACCAGAGGGGAAAGGAGTGGGGGAGAGAGAGAAAGGGGTAAAGGGGCACATGTGAATGGTGACAGATGGCAGCTAGACTTTTGGTGGTGAACATGATGTAGTCTATAAAGAAGTTGAGATATAATGATGTACATCTGAAATTTATATAATGTTATAAGCCAATGTTACCTCAACAACAACAACAAAAAAATAAAGAGAAAAAAACCCCTCAAGCTTCTAGAAAACCACTCTCTTGGTTCTGTTGACTAACTGGCCCTGTGTTCTTTTTTTTTTTTTTCAAGACTGCCATTAAGTAAGGATTTACTCCAGTATAGCCTTTTTTGGCAATTGTTTTTTTGAGATAAATTCACATAAAAATTCACCATTTTAGAGTGTACCATACAGTGGTTTCTAATATATTTGCAATATTGTGTAATCATCACCACTATCTAATTCCAGGACATTTCCATCAACACAAAAAAGAAACTCTAGACTTATTAATAGCCACTCCCAAATCCCTCCTACCTACATCCCCTGGCAATGTTTGATCAACTTTGTGTCATACAGATCTGCTTGTTATGGATGTCGAACATAAATGGAATCATACAATATGCAAGCTTTTTGTGTCTGGCTTCTTTCACTTAGCTTAATGCTTTTGAGGTATGTTCATCCATGTGGTGGCATGTATCAGTACTTCATTCCTTTTTCATGGCTGCATATGATTCCAATGTAATAGATATACCACTTTTGTTTATCCATTCTTCAGTTGGATTTGGGTTGTTTCCACTTTTTGGCTGTTACAAATAATGCAGCTATGAACATTGGTGTACAAGATTTTTTTAAAAATAGCTTTATTGAAACATACTTCATATACCATACAATTCACTCATTTAAAGTGTACAATTCAATGGTTTTTAGCATAATCACAGATATGCATGACCATCACCAAAGTCAATTTTAGAATATTTTCATTACCCCCAAAAGAAATCCCATACACATTGACTACTATTCCCCTACCCACCCACCCCCCAGCTACCCATGAGCCCTGGCCTACCACTAGTCTACTTTCTGTCACTATAGATTTCCCTGTTCTGGACGTTTCATATAAATGGAATCATATAATATGTCATCCTTTGTGACTGGCTTCCTTCCCTTAGCATAATATTTTCAAGGGTCACCCATGTGGTAGCATATATTTCATTCCTTTTTATGGCCAAATAATATTCCATTGCATGGATGTACCACATTTTGTTTGTCTATTTGTCAGTTGATGGGCATTTGGGTTGTCTCCACATTTTGGCTGTTATGAATAATGCTGCTATGAACATTCATATACACATTTCTTTGTGAAAATATGTTTTCCATTCTCTTGGTGTACATCTAAGAGTGTAAATGCTGGGTCAGATGATAACTCTGTGATTAACTTTTTGATGAACTGCCAAAATTTTCTACTGTGGCTGCACCATTTTTCATTTCCACTAGGGTTTATTATGATTCCAGTTTCTGCACAACCTTGCCAACAGTTGCTCTCTTCTGTTTTTTTGTTCGTTTTTTTTTATTATAGTCATTCTAGTGGGTGTAAAGCCATCCTAGTGGGTATAAAGTAGTATCTCGTTTTGGTTTTGATTTGCAATCCCCCTATGCATGTTGAGCATCCTTTCACGTGCTTATTGGTCATTTGTATATCTTCTCTGCATGAATATCTGTTTAAATCATTTGCTCATTTTCTACTTGGGCTGTTTATCTTTTTGTTGTTGAGTTGTTAGAGTTCTTTAAAGATTCTGGATACTAGATTGTTATAGATATATGGTTGGCAAATATTTTCTCCCATTCTGTGGGTTATCTTTTCACTTACTTGATAGTGTCCTCTGCTGCAAAAAAGTTTAATTTTGATGAAATCCAGTTTATCTTTTTTTCCCTGTTGTTCATGCTTTAGGTATCATATCTAAGAAACTGTTGACTAATACAAGGTCACATATATTTACCTATGTTCTTCTTCTAAGAGTTTTATAGTTTTAGGTTTTACATTTAAGTTTTTGATCCATTTTGAGTTGATTTTTGTATAGCGTGTGACATAGGGAGCCAACTTCATTCTTTTGCATGTGGCTATCCAGTTGTTCCAGCACTATTCTCTGAAAATACTATTCTTTCCCCGTTTAATGGTCTTGGCATTCTTGTCAAAATCAGTTGACTGTAAATATATAGATTTATTTCTGGGATCCTAATTCTAGTCCATTGATCTATATGTCTGTCCTTATGCCAGTACTACACTGTCTTGATTACTGTAGCTTTGTCCTAAATTTTGAAATCAGGAAGTGTGAATCCTCCAACTGGTCTTCTTTATCAATATTGTTTTGGCTCTTTAAGATCTCTTGTATTTCCATATGAATTTTAGGGTCCATTTATGAAAAAAAAAAGTTGGAACTTTGATAACATTGCATTTAATTTGTAGATCAATTTGGGTAGTATTGCCATCTTAACAATGTTAAGTCTTCTAATGCATAAAACCAGAATGTCTTCCCATTTATTTAGGTCATATTGAGGATTTTTTGAGTCTGTATTCATAGAGATATCAGTCTGTGGTTTC